CAGCAGGCTTGGATCGGTCTGTTCTGATGCGGTTGGTGACTGGCAACAAGCGGACGAGAACATCAAAGGGCATCACTTTCATCAGTGGCTGCTTGAGCACTCCTTGTTTCTTCCTCAAACTCTACAAGCATGTCATAGTGGACCAGGACAGACATGGAGTCATGCAACCGGTGCCACTGCGCGTATTGACTATATTGCTTGTCCACAAGTGCTTCGTGATGAGGCTATTGAAACATGGGTTGACGAGCGTATTGATCTTTCTCTCCAACGTGAAGACCATTGCTGTGTTCGAGCTCAGGTTCCCATTGCTTTTCATGTATCGACAAAGCCAGCACGGAAGCCCATTCAGCCTGCACAGCGTGATTTACAACGACCGCATTGGGATATGGATGTTCATACCCATGCGGCGACTTTGCAAACATGGCTTGGTCAGCAGGTGATACCAACCAGCCATTTGCGGAAAAGACACCTCACATCCATGACCGTGAAGCTTATTCAAGCTAAACGTTTTCATCGGCACTGTCTTGGCAAACTACGCCGTCATCGACGAGATGCTGTTCTTCGTCACATATTCATGAGTTGGCGACAGCATCGATGCCAACATGATGACCTGGGTCCATGGCTTCGTGAATGCGATTTACAAGAAGCACGCCACCTTGCGGCATTCATGGACCTTGCACCTCGTACTGTGGAAGCTGTACGGCATGACGATCGAGAGTTCTACGAACAGTTAGCAGCAAGAGCAGGAGAGGCTTCTACAAAAGGATCGCGCCACCTTTGGGAGGCGATTCGCTTTGCTTTACCGCGATGGCGGGCCAAGCAGCGTTCGAACCTCCGGTGTGTGGGACCCACAGTTGATGAAAAAGCCCAGCACTACAATCAACTTGAAGCAGGAGAGCCGACCCTGTTTGAACAGCTTCTGCGGCAATGCTGGCTTGCTCAACAGGATGCCATGGTTGAGGCACCATTATCCATGCCTCTCGATGCCTTTCCCACCAGAGTTCAAATTGAAGGTGTATGTGCCAAATTGCAAGTCAACAAGGCTTCGGGGATCGATGCGGTTTCCCCTCAACTCCTTCATGATCATGGTGTTACTCTTGCAGGTGATCTTACCACTCTCTTTCTCAAGATCTGGACCACAAATGCTGAGCCGTGGCAATGGAAAGGCGGATTGCTCCACACAATTGGCAAAAAGAAGCGCAGCCGGCGCATTGAGGACATGCGTGGCATCGCCCTTCTGGACGTGATGGGGAAGGTTTCTCATGCCGTAATGCGATCTCAGATGATGCCTGCACTTCATTCTGTGCGTGCGCCTCTGCAGCTTGGTGGCTTCGCTAAACAGGCGACCACCTTTGCCACCCACTACTTGAGAGCCTTTGAACAGCTGGCCTCAGAGCGCAAATTGTCTTCCTGTGTTGTCTTCTTAGACATTAAGAGCGCGTTCCATGCCATGGTTCGAGAGCTTGTGTTTGACCTTACACGGCCTTTGCCTGCACGCTTGCGGGAGGTGTTACAACTTCAAGGATGTGATCCTGATGTCGTTGTTCAACAAGTAGGACGGTGTCAGTTGAGGACACACCTTCCATGTGGACTTGATCGGTTGCTTGGAGATGCTCATGCCCATACATGGTACACTCTTGCGTCATCTGATGAGGTGCACCACACGCACCGTGGCAGTCGGCCAGGCTCCCCATTAGCTGACGCCGCATACAATGCGCTTATGACAGCCGTCATCCAGGACCTTCAGAATGTGATGGACAAACATCAATGCCTTCAGCGTGCCAATGTTTTGTTGGGCATTCAACCATCTATTGTGGCCTGGGTGGATGATTTGGCACTTCCCATGGTTTTTCCCATGGCCACTGATGTGGACAGGGTTACCTCTGAGGTGATGATTGCAGTCGATGACGTGTGTCGGTCTTATGGGCTGATTTTGAACATGCAACCCAAGAAGACTGAGGCTGTCATTGCGTATCGAGGTTCTCATGCCGCAGCCCAGCGAAGAGAATGCTTTGGTCACCGACAAGGCACTATCAGCTCCGAGATGAAGGCTGGTCCTTTACGGTGCGTGCCCCATTATGAGCACCTTGGGACTATGTTTGTGGCTGAAGGCACCATCGCCGTTGAGATTTCGCATCGTGTGGCCAAGGCCACTCACGCACACCATCAAGTGAACAGAATCATCTTGATGAATCGGCACCTCTCGATTCGCACTAGGCTCAAACTGCTTGAAGGCCTTGTCCTGCCTGTTCTTTTCCACGGAAGTGGGAATTGGCCGCTGCTTTCACATCGGCAGATGCAGCGCCTGCAAGGGCTTTACATGCGATGGACTCGAGCCATCATTGGGAACGGATTCTGGACCAGTGCTATGGCCTCTGACCAGCGTGTTCTCATGCGTTGGCAACTTCCTCATGTAGCTCTACGTTTGGCGAAGATGCGCCTTCTTTACGCATTTCATTTTGTGCGCGATTGCCCTTCAGGCATCATTGATGTTGTAACGGCGGCCACAACGCATTCTTCATCTTGGTTTCGGGCACTCCGACATGCTTTAGTTTGGCTGTACACCATGGACTCCTCTCTCTTCACGTGGCATCCTGACCATGCTTCTATCTCAGATATTTTGACATGGCTGACTGATCACGCAGAACGAGGGCCTGGCTTTGTTCGTCGACTTTATCATCGTGCTTTGCTACAAGGACATGTTGTGGAGCAGGTGGTTCAAGCACACTGGCGTCTTAGGCAATGCTTTACAGACCCCAGTACAACATTGACGGATGATGCTGCCAATCGACAACGAGGTCCTCTCCAGTTTGATTGCCGCCTTTGCATGAAGGCTTTTGAAACCCTCAATCAACTTCAAGTACATCAATGGATCGCTCATGAACTTATCACGCCAGAGCGGCAGATGATGAGATCTACCACTTGTGATGCATGTCATCGTTGCTTTTGGTCTTCGCAGCGTTTGCAGCAGCATTTGCGGTATAGTCGACGTCATCGCAATGGGTGCTTTGAGCGACTCACTTGGTGGCGAGCACCTTCTCTTCGAGCGCCTGATATTGATGAAATGCTGGCGTGTGATCGCTTTCATCGACAACCGGTCATGCCAGTTCATATTGCAGCTACCTTCAATGAGACCGTCCTGGCCTCTCGTGAAGAAGCTGATCAGCTATGGATGCAGCAATGGCATCAAGAAGGGTTGCCTGAGGTGATGGATGATGCATTTCAACAGCATGTTTTTGGTGCGTTAGATGTTTTGCTCTACTCTCAGAGATCATCCACATTGGCCGACGTTGATCACATCTTTTTCCAGATTCTTTCGATTGCAGAAGGTACCGACCAGGCGCAACTTCATGGTCCGCTTGGTGAATGGGCATTATGTCATTGGATTTTGGATCGCTTTTGGTGCAGACGCTTCCCAGAGATTGATGTTGCGGTCTTTCAGCAGATTGACGTGGCCTTGCAGCAGTTCCTGGTTGACTCCCATGTTGGCAGACTGGTTTGTTGGAAACGCCGTATGGATGCAGCGTATCAACCGGAGATATCGGTTGATGGTCACCATGAAGCGCCGTCCAAGATGTTGGAGCTGATCCCGGATCCATGTACCTTGCAAAATGCTTTGCTTGATGATGTGTTTGAGGGAGATTTTGTTTTTCCCCAATGTGATAAAGTTCCTTTGTGTAGGGTCGGTAATCGCACAGTACTCCTGATTCTGCACTTGTTTAGCGGCCGGCGACGGCTGGGGGACTGCCATTGGTGGATGCAACATATCGCGGAAAAGCTCATGCCCGACTTTCCTGTGATGATGATCTCCGTCGACACCGCCATTGATGAAATCCATGGAGATCTTTCAGGAGGCGACAATTTCATGCAGTTGCTTGGGCTGGCAAAAAGTGGCGCAGTTGCGGGGTCTCTCACTGGGCCCCCCTGCGAAACGTTTTCAGCCGCCCGGAACATCCAAATGGAAGAGCAACGTGGACCGAGACCTCTGCGCACCACAGCGCAACCATGGTGCCTTCATGATCGCACTGCACGTGAACTACGTCAATGCGCAGTTGGCTCCGAGCTCCTCATGAACTCACTGCAACTCGAATCTACAGTGGTTTGTGAAGGAGGTGGCGCACTCATGGAACACCCAGAGAAGCCGAATGATGAAGAGAAAGTTTCGGTGTGGGGGTTGCGCTGCCATCAGTCGTGGTGCATGAAATTGCCACACGCTTGTCGACATCACATTGAACAATGGCTATATGGGTCAGTTGGTGTGAAGCCGACGGCACTGCGTGCCCTCAACCTTGGCCCACCTGTCATTGTTGGTGAAGCCCTTCGATCTGGCACCGAGCTGTGGCGGACGCGACCCCGTCATGGACTGAAGGGCCGGGGCAGTGATGGCCGGTTTAGGACCTCTCATGCCAAAGAGTATCCTAGCGCGCTCTGTCGCAGCTTGGTAGTTGCAGTCCTGAAAGGACTCAAATTCCGCATTGACAAAGCAGGCGTGCGCACACCTGTGGTGCCGACTGCTGTGCAACTCCAATGGCTGCAGCACATGAGCGAACGCTCTGAAGTCCTCGCCCATAAGATATTTTTCCCAGATTATCAAGGGGCTTGAGGCATTTTCAGTGAGTGAATTCATTTGAGACTGCTTGTCCGCGCGAGGTTACTCCATGCGGTGGAATTGGAAAAATAAATAAATAAATAAAGAGATGTATATATATATATGTACACATACATACATACATTACATTACATTACATTACATTACATTACATTACATACATACATACAGACGTGTCAATGAAAAGCGAGAGAGAGAGAGAGGGGGACGGACGGGATGTGTATCTAATTGTATTTACTTTTATACATAATATAATATATATATATAATCATAATTCATTATATAATTACTGTAATCAAGCATGTCCAACTCCTTCCTCTACCTTTGATTATGAAAACTTCCACGAATTCACCGTGGCTTCCCCATGAAACCCACCTTTCAGCCGAGAAACGGCCAAGGCCACGGATAGGCGCAGGGCGGCCACCAAGGACCCGCCGCCTGGCCGTTGATATCTACGACTGAAGGGATTACTGAAGGGTAGGATCTTGTAGGATCTTGTAGGATCTTGTAGGATCCAAAGTTGGAAAATCTATATGAAAATCGTGGGATATCTTGCGTTTGGCTTCAGGGTGAGATGAGGATAGACGGTGAAATTGCGGAGCATCTCCAAAATATGTTTTCAACAGGATCCAGGAACCCGAGGGGAGCTACGCAAAGAGGGCAAAATCACCATGGACTCCTTTAAAAAACAACTTCAAGGGAGGCAGCCAAGGAAACTGGAGAACAGTGTCGCAATTCAACTTGGACGTGACCCAGCACATGAGTCGCACGAAAAAAAAAATGGCTCTCGGCAAAAAACCTGCTGCTGAGCCATGAGGTAACTCAAATTCAGGAAGTGGCATGAAGATTGCACTTGATGGTGCCTTTGAAGCGTTGTCAAACAACTTTTAAAACCACAATCGAAGAGAATCCCTTCTCATCTCCACTCCACCTCTATTTTCAGCATTCTCCTAGGCTCTCCCACATGTCCCCCACCTGCATGCTCGGCTGCGATGTGGGCCCCTTGAACTCCGCCTGGGATTAGTATTTTACATCTCAACCGAGAGGTCTATCTTGCTGGACACAAGAAATACAAGCCGGAACATCCATCCGTCAATTAACGGCTGTACCCTCCGGCAATCAAACATGGCAATGGAAAAACCTCCATTTATAAGGGATTATCCAATTAAAATTTAAACCTAATTTTTAGAGGGTTGGCTTGAGAAAGGTTATAGTTAAAAAGTGCAGAATCGAGAATCAAGAATCGAGGATCGAGGATAGAGAATCGAGGAAAGGAGGATCGAGGAACCGAGAATCGAGGACCAAGGATCGAGAATCGAGGATCGAGAGTCGAGATGAATCGAGATGAATCGAGATGAATCGAGAATCATCGAGATGAATCGAGATGAATCGAGATGAATCGAGAATCATCACTACCCTCTTGGTGCCCCTGACCCCCCCGGTGGTAAAAAAGGCTAGAAATAAAGACATTTGGGGGGGCGGGTATAAATATGTAACATGGGACATGGGAATTGTACGGGGGTACACCTGCTATGTTACATTTTCCAAGGGCCCCCCTATGAACAGCCACGGAGGGGTGACCCTGGGGGGTAGAAATTGTAATATATCTCCATGGGGTAGCCAAAATATGATCCCCTCCACCCCTATCCCTACACCCCTACCATATCCTACCATCATCTACCATCCCCTTTCCCCGTTCCACTGGGAGTTCAACAATATCATTTTTTTCAGTGGACATCAATGCAGAACACAGCACATTTTGGAAATGCTTGAAAGGTACGGATAGACATCAAACACCTTCAAAATGTAACATACTTTTTTGAGGTTGGCAAGTCCGATGTTGCGTTTTTGCATTCAAATCACCAAAAAAAATGTAACATACAATATTGAATATTGAGGTTAATGCTTACAGACTTGATATTGGACTTTAATTCAAGAGTAAAAATGTATTTCGAGCTGGCAGGGCCATGCAAAGTGACGTCGAACGCCTCTTCAAAGACCCATTGATTTATGATGCTGTCTTTTCAAAAACCCTGGTTTTTACAACGTTTTTATGCTTCTTCATTTGCCTTGTTTCCTGTTGCTCTAATTGTTTGCTGGAGGCCTTTTCATCCCAATGCGTCATCAGCAAAAAATCTTTAGCCACTTGCTTGAACATAACATTTTTCTATGTCAACACAAATTCCACAACGTAACACGTCACATGTGTGTAGTTCAACACAGATCCCATGACGTAACATGTAACATCTTTCTATGTCAACACAAATTCCATAACGTAACATGTAACATACTTCTATGTCAACACAAATTCCATGACGTAACACGTCACATGTGTGTAGTTCAACACAGACCCCATGACGTAACATGTAACATCTTTCTATGTCAACACAAATTCCATAACGTAACATGTAACATACTTCTATGTCAACGCAAATTCCATAACGTAACACATGACGTGTGTGTGTAGTTCAACACAGATCCCATAACGCAACATGCAACATCTTGCTATGTCAACACAAATTCCATAACGTAACCTGTAACATCTTTCTAGGTCAGCACAAATTCCACACCGTAACACGTCACATGTCTGTAGTTCCACACAGAACCCATGACGTAACATGTACCATCTTTCTATGTCAACACAAATTCCATAACATCCTGTAACATCGTTTTATGCCAGCACAAATTCCATAACGTAACACGTCACATGTGTGTAGTTCAACACAGACCCCATGACGTAACATCTATGTCAACACAAATTCCATAACGTAACCTGAACCTGTAACATCCTGTAACATTTTTCTATGTCAGCACAAATGCCATAACGTAACAAGTCACATGTGTGTAGTTCAACACAGATCCCATGACGTAACATGTAACATCTATCTACTATGTCAACATATGTCAACACAAATTCCAAAACGTTACCTGCAACATCCTGTAACATACTTCTATGTCAGCACAAATTCCATAACGTAACACGTCACATGTGTGTAGTTCAACACAGACCCCATGACGTAACATGTACCATCTTTCTATGTCAACACAAATTCCATAACGTAACATGTAACAGTAACATACTTCTATGTCAACACAAATTCCATGACGTAACACGTCACATGTGTGTAGTTCAACACAGACCCCATGACGTAACATGTAACATCTTTCTATGTCAACACAAATTCCATAACGTAACATGTAACAGTAACATACGTCTATGTCAACACAAATTCCGTAACGTAACATGTACTGCAGCATCTTTCTATGTCAACACAAATTCCGTAACGTAACATGTAACATCTGTTTTTCAGCACGAATTCCATAACGTAACCTGTAACATCTATGTCAACACAAAATCCATAAATTACGATGTCACATGTGTGTAGTTCAACACAAACCCCAAAATGAAACATGTTACCATGTAACATGTTTCTAGGTCAACACAAGTTCCATTACGTAGCATGTCACATGTGTGTAGTTCAACACAAATCCCATAACGTAACATGTCACATGTGTGTAGTTCAACACAGATCCCATGACGTAACATGTAACATCTATCTACTATGTCAACATATGTCAACAAATTCCAAAACGTTACCTGCAACATCCTGTAACATACTTCTATGTCAGCACAAATTCCATAACGTAACACGTCACATGTGTGTAGTTCAACACAGACCCCATGACGTAACATGTACCATCTTTCTATGTCAACACAAATTCCATAACGTAACATGTAACAGTAACATACTTCTATGTCAACACAAATTCCATGACGTAACACGTCACATGTGTGTAGTTCAACACAGACCCCATGACGTAACATGTAACATCTTTCTATGTCAACACAAATTCCATAACGTAACATGTAACAGTAACATACGTCTATGTCAACACAAATTCCGTAACGTAACATGTACTGCAGCATCTTTCTATGTCAACACAAATTCCGTAACGTAACATGTAACATCTGTTTTTCAGCACGAATTCCATAACGTAACCTGTAACATCTATGTCAACACAAAATCCATAAATTACGATGTCACATGTGTGTAGTTCAACACAAACCCCAAAATGAAACATGTTACCATGTAACATGTTTCTAGGTCAACACAAGTTCCATTACGTAACATGTCACATGTGTGTAGTTCATCACAAATCCCATAACGTAACATGTCACATGTGTGTAGTTCAACACAGATCTCATGGATGTAACATGTAACATCTTTCTATGACAACACAAATCCCGTAACATATAACATCTTTCTATGTCAGCACAAAATCTGTAACTTGACATGTTACATCTAAGTTTCATGAAGTAACATGTTCCATGTATAAATGTCAAGGCTTTCCAAAACGCATTCATATCTGTTTAATGTATACTTGAACGTTATTCCGCCCCCCCACCCCACGCCACCCCACCATAAAGCCCACGTCAAAAATGAGCAAACAATACGTCCGGTAAACCCACCGGCAATGTAACATGTTTTACGTTTGCTTTATGAATTTGTGTAAAACCACCTGCATAAATGTGGATATATGATTATATGTGGTATATAGCCCCGGTCCCCAAACCCTGCATAGTAACACTCCAAAAATGCATGTTTCACCCTCTGGGAGAGAGTATAGTTTAATTGCGAAAGAAAAGCATAGTTAATTGCGAAAGCTGATGTTCTTCGATTGCGAAAAAGAACATGGCTAATTGCGAAAAATGCCATGGGAATGAACTCGAAACTGGAACAAGCCTGTTACCCTAGCTGCGAAATATCACAAAATGGCTAAACCTCTTACCTTAGCTGCGAAACTGTTACCGTAGCTGCGAAAACATTGCTAAGTGGCCCGTAGCCTAGGCTATTTTAATCACAAACTAAGTAAACCTGTTACCTTAGCTACGAAAGTGTTACCGTAGCTGCGAAAAGTTGTTTAATCGCAAAACAGGTCAACCTCTTACCTTAGCTGCGAAACTGTTACCCTAGCTGCGAAAACATTGCTAAGTGTTCCATAGCTGTCACAGTCCTAACCCCTTCCCAAATGCTGCAGCCACAATGAGCAACGATTGAGGCATCGCGCATGTTTTTTCACCAAATGCTGCAGCCACAATGAAAAACGATTCCAAATCCCAAAACATTTCTGCATCACTCTGATATCTGGTACTGCTATTCGCATTTAGTCGACATACACTTTTCGTAATTAGGCATTAGCATTCGCTATCAACAACGGCTTTTCGTGATTAGACAATACACTGCCTCTGGGAGGGGGTAAGACGGTCGTGATCGAGAATCGATGGTCGAGGATCGAGAATGGGGCTTGTGAAGCCGGGTCTGATTTTTTTTGATGCGGATTTCCCAGCCGGTTTTCCCGCAGGGTAATTCCATCCGCAGCAGCACCTGCGGTGGGAAATGCGGCCACGGCATTTGCTGCTGCCAGCCTTGCAGCCAAGCATGTTTGCTAGCTTCCCCAGCGATTTGTGGGCTTCCAGAGGCTACCTAGGCCTTACACGTTCCCAGTCCAAAATCGATTTCCACCCGTTGTAATCTACACCGATTTTTTGTGATTCCTTCGTGCCCTTGCCTTCAAAAGACTTTGCAGAGTCTCACTTTCTGTGGCATGAGGACATGAGAAGTTGGCGCAGCTTAGAGGACTCCTTTTGCATATGGATTCCACATACAAATGCACCGATATTGCGTTTACTGGTTCTTCCAGGAGGGTTTCTTCCTTGAGTTGTGGAACTCCAAGTTTCACACCATGCCATGTCTCCTTTATTGTGATTGTAGGGAGATCAAGTGGTACAACAAAAACCTGCCATGTATTTGGGTGTGTCTGAAAATAGTGTACCCCTAAACCCAATGGTTAATGATCATTATCCCTATTAAATGGCTATAATTGGGAATATACCCTATTTTCAGACAAACCCATTTACGAATTCAATTCTATCCAACTCCGCCACATGCCTGCACGCATAGGGTCGGATAGTAGGTCGCATTGCACGCCCACGTCCACGGGTATGCTAACCTTCCAAAGAGCAACCCACCAACCCCATGCACATCATCTTGTTGAATGTGCAGTTTTCCGCTGGAAACTGGCCAAATGTTGAAGAAATCTTGGCAAGCTAGCTGGTCAAAATATGTTCTTTGTATATTCGACTTATTCGACTGTGTCTTGCCTGTACGTTGGCATCCCGCGTGGCCGGCTTTGGCCTTTCCTTAGCTAGTGGCTGGCCACCCCTCAGTATGCTGTCACCTCTCCTGCGCAAGTCTCCTGCTTTCATGAAATCTGGCACTTTTACATTCTGACAACTTATGAAATCTGCCTAGCCTCCCTGCAATCCATTCCTCTCCCTTGAGATGAAACTTTTTGCAGACCAAGTTCCTCTATCCAGGCATTCCTGCATCTGGGTCGGGTGGCACAGGTCTTAGGTGAAACCAGGTTGCCCAAAACTGCAGCCCTGTTAACTAAAGCCCACTATCTTGCACCAACTGTGGGCTCCAAAGGGGGGTGGTAAGGGTGAGCCATTGATGCCACAGCCCGCCTAGATGGCTCAGCTGCTTGTGCCATGGCCACTGGCGCCACTGCGACAGGCTGGCTGGTCTTGAGCGGATCCAGCGCTAACTTTGGCACTGCAGATCCCATAGCGACGGATGCGACGCTGGTGAAGCCGGGCTTTGCCGCGCTTGCTGCGGCCGCTGCGGCTACTGCAGCCTTGGCTGGGCTGGTGGCGGCTGCTTTCGGAGTAGGCTTCGGCGTGTCCACTGAAGAGGCCTTGGTCAAGAGGAGCTTAGGCTGGAAGCTTTGGAGGGCAATCTTAAATTGGTGGAGCTCAACATAACTCAACAACCGGTACAACACGAGCACTACATCCAGCTCCTCAAAATCATCATCATAGGTCATGGATCGCTGTCGTGCCACGCTGGCACTGGCAGAGGAGTCCTAGAGGATTCACGGGTTCTGGCGCATTTTCAAGTTTCAAAATGAATGGACCCCTAGTCATCTCCAAAGCGAATGCGAAGAGAGAGCAAATGACAACCAAAGGATAGTCAGTTTCCCTAAAATATTTTTGTGGACCACGTTTTTGTTGACATCAGTCGTCCTGTCCAAAAAAGCAAGAGCCAAGTTTTCCTCTGCAAAACAAACCCCGGCAAAAATGTTGAAATAACTGCTGAAACAGGTACACAAACGCAAAAACAACTGCAAAGCAAGGAATCAATGATGTACAAGAACGATGATGTCATTTCATTCTATGCCTAGTTCTTCACATGTACTTTCATGATCTTTCATGTACACCAACTGCGCCTTTTTGGCCACGGGCCACAACTGTCTCAGGTCTGCTGTCCGTTGAATCTCACCTACTTGGGCCGTTTTAGAACGCGTGGTGATATTTGAACAAAAGCATGGCCAAAAAGGGCCATGCACCGCGCCAGTTAAATATTCCCAGAGGATACATTGATGGCCAGCAGATTGTACCCCAATTGATTCTTCGGCCCAGCACCGGCTAAGGTGCCATAGAGGAAAACGATGCCGTCTTTCCCCAGAGCTTCTCATGAAAGGGTCGGATTTGAGTACAGACACTGGGAGCTGTGAAGGTGCGAAGATTCCCTGCAATGCAAACTGCAACACCAGATGGGTGATTCGTAACGAGCTTGGTGCCTACAAAAGATATTTGCCAGCCAAAGTTCCATTCTTCAGCCAGTAAAATCGCTACCAGTACCGTCAGGCATGTCACCAGCAGGGCAAAGCAGGAAAAAAGTGTCCACTCCCATTGCGGTGCAGCACGTTGGTTGGCCATTTCGTCCCCAACTCGAGCCTTTTTAAAAGCTGAGCATTGAATCGACGAATTTACTGTTCCGGATTTGCAAAGGGCTTTTTAACCTTGCCTCTGTTTTTTGACCTTGGATTACTTAACCTTACCCTACTCTTTTTTGACCTTGGCCTACGCTTTTTTAACCTTGGCCTACTCTTTTCTAGCCGTGGCCTAAATTTTGTTAACCTTGCACCATCTTGCACCTTTTTTCTCTAACCTTGTCCACTTGCCAAGGTTAAGAGTGACCGTGCCAAGGTTGACAAAGAGAGTTATAGGAAATTGTCGGGTATTGAATGCACACAACTGGATTGCACAGTAGATTGTACAGTGCGGTAGACTGTGGAGTGTTAGTGTGTAGTGCCGAGGTTGCAGTCCGAAGTAGTCTAAAGTGTGAAGTGTTGAGTGTGTAAAGAGTATAGGGTGAGTTTGCAGTACGGAGCACGAAGTGCCGAATGAATGGCGTGTGAAGCGTGAAATGTAGAATGTGGTGTGTGGATGGTTGTGAATGTCAATATGGTGTGTAGGGTGTGGAGCGCCGGTGTGGAGTTTGAAGCAGTATTTGTAGAGGGTGGAGCGCCCGGCTCGGCTGTGGCATGCAAAGGTTGCAGTGTAGAGTGTGAAGTGTAGAGTTCGCAGCAAGTTAGCAGCTAGCAAGTTTGGAAAAAAAGGGCGCAAAGTTGAAAAAGAGAGGTGGCCAGGCAAGGTTAGAAAAAAGTGTTCAATGTCAAAAAAAAAGTCGCAAGGTAAAAAAAGGGGGCCCTCTTCCAAAAGAGGGCCATTGCAACTGAAGGTTCACTGCAAAAGCAAAGGAGACACCAATTGTGTTTGTGTGCATGTGTGTGTGTGTCTATAATTCTGGTGCATATTTCGTCACATATCCAAGCACGCATGTGCTTGTGTGTGTGTGTGCGTGTGTATCTGGTACTTGGCAAGAACGATGCATAAACTCCCTGCAGTCGCAGCAGCTTCAGCCCGCGCCTTCACTTGCGCGACACCTGACTTCCAAGCCCTCCCACCAATGCTTCAAGAGAAGCAGCCCTCCTTGTATTTGTATATTATATCGTGTACAAGCTCCCGGGATGATCCAGATTATACATTCAGCATTCATCTTCTAGAGCCTGCCTTTGTCATCTCGTGTGTACAACATGCGCTTAAAGCACTTCAGTCTGGCTGGACCTCCTCAGAACTAAGTTTCACAGCTATCCAATCCAACCTCCCTTCATGATCACACGCCGCTGGGCCTGGTGTTGAGGCCGCCTTGGCAACCTGGGGTATGACCAAGTCGCTCATCTGTCGAATCTTCCCGAAGCTGGAAATCCCAGCTGGTGGGGACCGCACCGACCCAGCCGACAGCCCAGACGCGCTGCGATCGCTGCGACTTCTGGCACTCCGCAAGGCCGACCGCGAGGCCGACCGCGACCTGGCGGCCTCTGGGGATGGACGCTTCGCGGCGCTGGTGGTGGCTGCTTTCGTGGCCGGCTTCGGAGTGTCCACCGAAGAGGCCTCGGCCAAGAGCCACTGGTTTCAACAATGTTTCCACACAGCAAATTCGCCAGTTCCTGTACTTAGAGTCCTGACAAGATCGACAGATCTCTTAGATTTCTTCACCCCACTTTTAACCCGGCCAATCATGCACTGCACCCGTACAATGCCTCAAAGTCATCCTCGTAGCTCATCGATGGCCGCCGCGCCGGAACACTGGCACTGTCAGCAGTGAAGTCCTGGATGTCTCAGCGGTCTTACAAAAATATCAAAAAAGGAAGTCGATAGGTGGGCTAGTACGTATAGCACATGGATGTACATGGTGCAATATTGTAAACCGTGTATATAGCGTGCACCATATTGCACCATATCCATGCATGTTCTCTAATTTGATCCAACATCGTGCCCGAGAGGTCAAATTCAAATGAAAACTTAGGGACTTCGGTGGAAACCTCTGCTGCACCTTAGGGAAGTAGCATTCTACCAAAAGAAACTTTGGCACCAAACTGGTGCATGATTCCGAGCAACTGCGTTATGTTCATAAATCTAGATTGAAAAAAGGTCAAGTCATGTTTGAGGCTGATGTGAGTAAATTGGTGTTTCGGATCAGAAAGACGTCAGTTACCATTACAATCATTACTCATTACACCACCATAGCAGGCCGCGGGACATCCTCCGTGTAATTATCCCCCGATTGTGACTTGGAGCGTTGCGTGGCAAAGGGTGGCGACGCCTGAGAGACTCTGGCGAAGAGGAGGCGATTTCCAGCGACACGGGGCTTTCCGCAGGAAAACGCTGCCAAACAGAACCTACCCTGCAAAACTCTGCCAACTGGTAGGGTATAGTCAAAGGACCTAACCCTCGAATCATATCGAACGGATATCATGGGATCATAGTGTAAACATCCTTGGAAGTGAGGCTTGCCTGGTTGCCAATGCAAAATGTGAATGGATCTGCTGAATCTGCTGGGATACTTTCTCACTTAGCAATCACTATCTGGCAAGCAATGATGCAACACAATGCAGCCCACCCTCCTGGCCTTTGCTGGCGCAACACCTGACTTCCAGACTCCCCACCCAACGCTTTCAGAGAACCAAACTACACTCCTTTGGTGGCATGAAGGTACACCAAGAAAAACCGTGAGCATGAATCTTTCCGCATCATCTAGAACGATCTAAAGCCTGCTTCCTGGGCACCTTCAAACCTCCCTTCATGATCACACGCCGCTGGGCCTGGTGTTGAGGCCGCCTTGGCAACCTGGGGTATGACCAAGTCGCTCATCTGTCGAATCTTCCCGAAGCTGGAAATCCCAGCTGGTGGGGACCGCACCGACCCAGCCGAGAGGCCAGACGCGCTGCGATCGCTGCGACTTCTGGCACTCCGCGAGGCCGACGCAGACCGAGCACTGCGGGGAGTGTTGGACCTGGACCGGGCCGACTGGGAGGGCGAGGGGGAGTGACGGGACCGGGATGGGGATCGTGATGGCGAGGCGGAACGAGGAGACGCTGGCGCCGATCTGGACGCACTGCGCGAGACCTGGCTGGAGCTGGGTGATGCGTCGCCGGGGGATTTGGTCTTCTTGGCAAAGTTCGAGATCTTCGCCGGGGAACGGGACAGCACTGCACCTGATCTAGGGGAGGCCTCGGGGCTGGCACTGGCGCTGGCGCTGTCTGCTGTCTGGCCCTTAGGAACCTTCTTGGGGGCGGCCTTGGGAGGCTTGTCCTCCTCTGAGTCGCTCTCCTTAAAGCATCGCGTCAAGGGCTGTGAATGCTGCCAAGGGTGGTCATTTGTTACTCTCCTTGAAACCGGAAAAGGAGCTTAAAAACCCTGAAATCAATTGAAATCATCATCTTTCAGGGAACAACGTTCCACTGCACCGGTTGTTTCAGGTAGGGTGGTGCTTCAATTCGATCAAGCCGATACTTCCAATCATACAGCATCCACCCATCGCAGACTGCAAAGCCACACCCGGCCTCCAGGAAGGCGTTGAAATCTGACTCTTTCTTCGCAGTGGCAGGTCCTCCAGTGGTCTTCATTCCCATCTGCCTGCATGGCACGGCTGAATCAAACGAAAGCTTGAGCCTATCAGAATGGTTCAGGCTAGGTACATCTCCTTGCATTAGAATCATTAGATCATTAGATATGACTTTGAGCTAGGTGGAAGCTAGGTGGAAGAAGCTGACCGTGTGGCAGCCAATCGGCATGTGTCCGAAGCCCAGGATCTGCTTGAAAGTCGCTTTTCAAGCATTCCACAAGCAAAGGGGAATGTATCCTGTCAAACCGCAAGAGCGGCTACTATATAATGTCATCTAATATCTACTAATTCCATATCCCGACAAAGATCCCCCAATGCAGCCCCAAAAAAGGTCTAGCCTATTACTGAATCATAGCTTCTGGGGGATGTTTCTCAGTTCCTTTCAATGAAGGCAAGTGACCTGTATCGGTCGTCCAAGTCAGCATCAATGGCAGTCTTCCGCACAATGCCTGAAGCTGGTGGGGGGAGCGGTCCACCAGAGCCCCAAATGGCCTGAGATTCTCATCCCCGAATCTGATCCAAACCTCCCAGATTTGTTGAAAGATCTATTGACGCTAGACCTTCGACGCCAAACTGCCAAACCTAGCCATTTAATTTCATATTTAGTGTCTTTGTTTTGTCTTCCCCATTCTCTCCATTGAGAAGCTGGTTCTGACACCCTTTTCTCGTTGCATCTTGCGGCCACACTGCTCTTGGCTGCCGATTTGGTGACTGCTTTTGTCACCGCCTTGGCGCCTGACTTGGACCTTGGTGAGGACTTCCCAAATCCCCATCACTATTTCCGCTCACTTCGCCTGAAATCTGTTCCTGGAAATATATTTCAGAATCTGAATGGCTATGTTCTTCTATGTTCCTTCACCTCCCCCTTTTTATGGTTTTTACCCTAACCACCCTGGGTCCATCCGTTCCTCGGCTTCGGGCGAAGCTTGGGGCGAAGCCTTGCCAGCCTTGGGCCTGGAGATTTTTTTTGGGCGGCCGCCATCGCAATTCCAAATTTAGGGGATAAAAAATGTATCTAGATTCCCATTTTAGATCTAAGAAATATCTAAGATATCCTTAAGTGGAAATGGTGTATGGAAAACTTATGCTTCTTCATGATTACTAATCATTACTAATCACTTCCTGGGATGCACAGCCAGGTCATGACTCCTCTCGCACTCTGTCGGTGATTGTGTCAAATCTTGGGCGCCATCCTGCTGATGCCACATCGTCCCACTGCATCAGATTGATGCAAAATGATGCAACAATAGATGGCTATGGATCAATACCTATAAGTACCATTTTTAGGGTGATGAACATCCATTTACCAGCTATTTTGAGGTTCACCAGGGGTACAAGGTTTTGACCCATCCCCAGATGATGAAGAATTAAGTTTTTAATGGATGTTTTAAATGGATGTAATCATACATGTGTGTGTGTGTGTGCATATGTATTTGGAAATAACATATATATATATATATATATGTATATACATGATATACCCACATAGAAAAGACGGTGCGAGTCAATCGGCACGCTGCGGCTGCTGACAGCCATAGCAACAAAGAGAAAAAAACGGATAGGTACAGTGGAAAGCGTGCATGCAATAAATCTGGACAAAAGCATGCGTCCCGTGGAAAAACAATAGGGAAATCATCACCTGGAATAAGACTACATGGGATATTCAAATGGCCTATATTTGATTGGCACCATGGCCTTTCCTATAGATTGTTAAGCTTTGCCAATCGTGACAGCTGGATCTGAAGCCCACTTCACGCCTGGCTGCACTGCTGGTGCCACCTGCTTCACAGCTGTCCCGCCAAGACATCGACTTCTTGCGGGTCTCATAGCACCGAAGAATGGTATATACATATACGTATGATTCAATATATGTATAGAATATGATATGTGTATAGAATATGATATATATATATATATATGTGTACACATTAGTGGTGTGTGTATATATGATACATGTATATATCAGTCACTCTGGTGATTTAACCGAGTGCTATGGAAAATGGATGAAGATGATTCATTTACAGTACTTCAATGGTATAAACCCATTCCCCAATGCTATGCAATGTCCCCAATATGGGACCCAAAAAATGAATAGATCCTGTACTTAACCATTGGTTTCTTGGGTGATATCTAAAATATGTGGGGATATACACTGTACATGTTGATGGCTCAAAATAGGGTCCAAAAAACTGAAGCTACAAAGTTGGCCATGTTCATCATTCATGGGTCCATTTTTTAGCTATTTCAGTGCCCAGACAATCACATGACTCGCCACGAACTCCAGGCCTTTTCCGAGATCAATCGAACTGGCCGAGCCACTGTCATTCTGCAACAAGCGTCACGGATGGGAGGTGGGGCGCTAGAGCACCCTGTTGTCTGTCATAGTGCCTTTTAAGTACTTCACTTAAGTACTTCGCAGGACATTCGCACTGAGTCAGCCTAGTCATACATACATACATATGCATGGTTCGAGCAAGACAGACATACTCGATGCTCGATTCACTCACTCACTCAACAACACGCTCCTTCGCCCCAGTGCCACTGTTAAAATTCTATAGTGTTTATTCGGTGCACATACTGCAATAGCTCCTATGATTTTGATGATTTATGGTGATGTTCGATTTTTCTTGTATGTTTACCAGAGGATAATCATTGGTGCACCCCAAGCCTCCAGGAAGGCATTGAAATCTGCCTCCTTCTTCGTTCCTCCAGTTTTTGTTCCAGGCCTACGGCAGGGATTCAGATGCTTAAACTGGAGCTAGGTACTGCCTTTGACACATACAGATTCAGATATATGTATATTATTATATACTTGTATGTGTTGTTTTTAAAAATGCAGATAGATAGATAGATAGATAGATAGATAAATAGACAGACAGACAGACAGACAGACAGATAGATAGATAGATTAGGTAGATTAGGTAGATTAGGTAGATTAGGCAGATTAGATAGGATCGGATCGGATAGGATAGGATAAGATAGGATAAGATAGGATAAGATAGGATAAGATAGGATAAGATCAGATAAGATAGGATCAGATAAGATAAGATAGATCAGATGAGATAAGAAAAGATGAGATAAGATAAGATAAAATAAGATAGATAAATATATAAGACAAGATAAGATGAGATGAGATAAGATAAGATAAAGATAGATAAGATAGATAAGGATAGGATAGGATAGGATAGCATAGATAGCATAGATAGCATAGATAGCATAGATAGCATAGATAGCATAGATAGCATACATAGCATACATAGCATACATAGCATTCATGGCATAGATAGCATAGATAGCATCGATAGCATAGATAGCATAGATAAGATAGATAAGATAGATTGGATAGATTGGATAGATTGGATAGATAGGATAGATAGGGTAGATAGGATAGATAGGATAGATAGGGATAGATAGGATAGATAAGATTGATAAGGTTGATAAGACAAATAAGATAGATAAGATAGACAAGATAGATAAGATAGTAAGATTGGATAGATAGATAGGATAGATAGATAGGATAGATCGATAGATAGATCGATGGATGGATAGCTAGATAGATAGATAGATAGGATAGATAGGATAGGATAGGATAGATTGGAAAGATTGGAAAGATTGGATGGATAGGTAAGATAGATAAGATAGATAAGATAGATAAGATAGATAAGATAGATAAGAGAGATAAGAGAGATAAGAGAGATAAGAGAGATAAGAGAGATACGATAAGATAAGATAAGATAAGATACGATACGATAAGATAAGACAAGATAAGATAGGATAGGATAGATAGATAGGATAGGATAGGGTAGGATAGGATAGATAAGATAGATAAGATAGATAAGATAGATAAGATAGATAAGATAGATAAGATAGATAAGATAGATAAGATAGATAAGATAGATAAGATAGATAAGATAGGATAGATAGACAAGATAGATAAGATAGATAAGATAGATAAGATAGATAAGATAGATAAGATAGATAAGATAGATAAGATAGATAGGATAGATAGGATAGATAAGATAGATAGGATAGATAAGATAGATAGGATAGATTGGATAGATTGGATAGATAGGATAGGTAGGATAGATAGGATAGATAGGATGATAGGATAGATTGGCTAGATTGGATAGATTGGATAGATTGGACTAGATTTAGATTAAGATAAGATTAGATTTAGATTAAGATTAGATGGATAGAGATATAAAAAGAGTCGACATATGTCGACACTATCGTTTCTCTTGACTAATAACCGATCCCAACCCAGCGCCACGGAGACCTGTTTGAGGGATCATCCAAGTCATCGATGGCAGGCTTTCGCACGACGCCTTGAGATGGGACTTTTTGACAGTCTGGAAGGCAGGAAGGCATATACAAAAAATACAAAAATGATCGTAAACGGTGGTTTTCTTAAAATAGAGGATCCCCTCTACGCCATGGCGTTTCAATCCTAAAAGGATGATTTGGGGTACCTTCAGTTTAGGAGACCTCTATATGATGTAGGCACCCCCAACTTGGACAAAAATGGATGCAAGACGGCGCCAAAATGTTGCAAATGATATGTTGGTCTTGCTCATCGTCGTAACCTGAAGGCAAACCGTACAATAAACTGTACCAAACCCTGCAAACATATTCAAAATGTTATAAACTGTACAAACCCAGAATTTATTTGAAATACTAAACTTTGCACAAACCACATAATATGACATAATATGACTATATCTTTACAGAACCACAACTAAATCTATCTTCCCAACCCCCACCATCCCATCCTTTCGCCAGGCTGCTCTTGGCCGCCCATTTGGTCACAGCCTTCGCCGCTCCGGAGCCGGTCTTGGCCGAGGTGCCTGCGGCCAAGGTTTGCTCCCAATATGGACAGAAAATGTGTAAAAATCTGCGACATGGGCATACATTTGCATCTCCATATAGATCCATATATCATATATGTCATATATCATATATCTATATATGTATGATATGTGTATACTGTATATGTGCATATGACCATTTGCCAAAAATAGTTGACAACAGTTTTGTACCAGTTGTTGATAATTCATGTGGATCTTGTGGTTTTTCCTCTTTGTTATGATGCGGCACGCAACTAAATTCATCAATTCTGAAAGGCAGCGCTAGCAAACCCGCTAGGTTTGCGCTAGTTTTTTTTTCACATCCATGTTCAAAGGTTTACTCTTTATGTCTTGCTGACCGCTTGTTATTTCAACATGAAGAACAATTCAGATGTAACACTTAGCGCCTTAAACCTAAGGATGTCTTAGTAAATTGCTGTGCTACTCAACCATTGTCCTATATCTTTAAGGTGATCATTCAATTTTGCAAAGTTGTACGTAGTTTTGCCCACTAGATCTCCGCTAGCAATGCGCTAGCAAAAGTTAAAAAAAAAACGGCTTTGGCTGAAACGTGACCCAATCGACGCCAGAGAACTTGTAGTTTGTCCTTTCTGTTTGACGAAAGCAACAGTGACAGCAAACGCAACGGCAAGCCCTGCAGTAAATGAAAAATGCGTCCGTTTCCACGGTTAACAATTAACTAGCAGCGGCACCCACTCCGTATAGACGTGCGTTAGCAATTTCCTGCAGTTTTAGCTGGGGTTTCAAACATGAAAGATAAATTGCAGGGTTTCAGACTATTTAGATAAGTCACAGTGTTAAAGAGCAAACAAGAAGCGGCGCGCATGGAATTACGATTGATCAACCAAACCAGGAAAAGACATGTTGACAAACGGTCGTCATATGTGTATGTATATATATCTCTCTCTCTCTCTCTCTCCTGCGTCATATTCGACCTGTGCATCAACTCAGCTTCTCACTTCGCTCCACCTCGAATTTTCCAGGTGAAGGGATGACAGTCGGACAACAACCGGGGGCCCTCGGGGCATTTAGCACCTCGGGAGCCCATGATGTCATTTGCCCGGAGGTAGGACTCGGTGCCCGTGGGCACGCTGAAGGAGTAGCTGTCACCACCAATTTCTCCACCGAATTCGCCTCCCACCATGGATCCCGCCATGGTCCCATTGGGGAGACCGTCAAAGTGTATCAAAGTTTGATGTTGGTCATGAAAGTCATGAAAGGATATTGTGAAAGGATATTGTGAAAGGATATGAAAGGCGTTTGGATGGACTGTCACAAAGTTGGAGAAGTTGGGCAGGTATGTTGTTTTGGAGGCATCCGAAGTCTCAAGTCAAAGTCCAGCTAAATGGTCGATCTAGCCACGAAAACAATTGTGGTTGAGAGTCCATACTCGTCACTTTCTCCACACATCACATCCCAATCACCATCAAACTTCCCACCTCCACCCCTCGACCTGCCAAACTTGGGAGACTAGCAGCAACGGGGCTTGGTAAAGTGGGGATTCTGTGGGTCAGGAACCTCAACATCCAATGACCAAGGCGCCCACAACACCAGGTCCTGAGGTCTTCCACTCCTACTGTTTATCTACAATTGGTTCCTTCGCGTTTGCATTATTTCTGTTTTATCATGTTTATCTGTATCATGTTGTATGCAGTGTAAACACCTTAAACACCTTAAAATCACTTTAATCCTGTGACCAAAATAAACATTGACCCCATATGTTTCAAGCAACCACCGGGCCCACCTGGCAGCACCAGTGCCACCTGTCACAGGAAGGATCCAGCCCAGCAAATCTGGCCATAGATTCACTCTTGGATCCATTGGATACCACTCGAAAGTAGAAGAAATGCAAATTGATGATGTACATGTATGTGTGTATATAGATATATATATATATATATGTACACAAACACACATATTATAGGTATTTTCCGCCATTGCCGACACCGCTGCCTCCAAGCGGTCGGTTTCCCAGGCCAGTCCCGATGTCAATCGAACTGGCTGAGGCACTGTCCTATCGAAAGCGGGATTTCCGTCATCGAAGAGGTGACTTGCCAAGGCTTACCAGACGATCTCCACCAGCACATGGCGGTAAAGAAAGCGGCATGCGGAAATCTTCAGTAAAGAGCTGAAAGAATCACACCCTCCCAGATCTCCCGGTCATTCATCGATCATCACTCAGAATGGAATACCGCTGGAATATCAAACAATATCAACCACCTCCCAGCCGTAATCAAACGGTTGTAGTTGACTCCATCGCCGTGAAGAGTAGTGAGTCGGCCCAGCACATCCCCGGGCGCCTCGTCAAAGGACAGGTCATGGTCCGATTGCATCGAGCGTGAGATCGGCATGGCTGTGAGGATCGTCACAGCCAGAGACTGAAGGTATGTTGAACAGCTGAAATGAGGCAATGATTTGGCTGAAGGGAACGAAACCACGCAAACAATCACAAGAGAATGTCAATTTAGTGCTATTTAATGTTTTTTTTGCAATTTATGCAGGTTTCAAATTTCAGTCCGCTCATTAGCTCCTCATTTCACAACCAAGCTGTTCTCAACTAGTTCAGCAAGGCTGAAACAGTTAAGCAGGCTACAATCCGGGCTTGTGGTACGTCGAAGATATTGATTCGACTGAAAACATCCGCAACCTTAAACTTGTGCTGAATGTGTAGAGTCTAGTCTCCTGCAACTTTGTCTCCATCCGGGTACTGTGACTAAATCTAATTCATGCAGCTTGAGCCACGGAAATGGATCGACTCGCCTGTTGAAGCAATACCTGGAGTGATCGGGACAGTCCGCTTCGGCAGTACGAGTACGAACCCAAAACCGGCAAATCTGGCAATTCAATGGGGAAAAAAAAACCATGTTCAGAACGCGGTTACAAGGCACAACCTTTCACCTTCCTCACTGCAGCAAAGAGCACAGGGACAGCAATGCATTTCATCTCAACACCTACATTGTCCTAGTCCTGCTGAACGCGGGAGATTCGCAAACATGACCGGGTAATCAATTCTTGGTCAGCTATGAAAATCGCCACACATCCCGAGCCAAATCCATTTGAGATGAATGAAGCCAACTTTACGAGTGTCCACAGAGGCACTGTGCAGCCAACCTTTTCTCACCAACGCCAGGAGTGAAGACCTGACCCGGCGGCACCCTGTAGTTCGCATCAAAATAGCTGGGATTAAATGGATGCTCGTCCCCTCCAAATTTTTGAACAAACATGGGTTTTATCTATGTAAGCCATCCCCAATTGTTGGATCACTTCTTGCTAGCAAAAATGTCTTGAGATATGATACTACTAGAGGGATGAATGTATTTTCTGGGCGGTTTAGCCATCAAGAAACCTGCTCTCTTCACTTGCCTCTTTTTCCGTCACATCCTTCACAAGCAGGTCACTGCACCGGCTTATCAGACTCGAAATCATTGCTCTTCAGGTCTGTGCCATTCAATATCTACAAGAAACGCTGTGTAAAATCACAAGTTACTGGATGATAACATGTGATGACATTCCCTTGAAATTCGCTGCATATAGCTGCATTACTTTCATCTTTCAAGTTGGGGTTCGACTCTGGATCTCGGCGGCTTGTGTGACCAGTGTAAAGCTTACAGGCAATATTCAGGCTTCGCCGGAAAGGTGCACCCCGACTGTTGGATCACTGTAGCTGCTGCATAGCTGCCGGCCTGCTGCATGTGGCATGGCTATGGGTTTTACGTCTCTGCGTGCGCTTTCTCTCTGAAATTGTGAAGAGAGAGAGAGAGAGATATATATATATAAAATGTGAGAAATCTGCAAAAATGGTCAGGTGTAAAGGGGAAACCTGGACAAAGGCAAGGATTAAGTTTTTGGCCCAAAATTGGCTCAGCTCATCCAGGTCTGAGCCCGACATCTGCAAGCATTTCGAGTTCTGACCCTGTTTACATCACCACAGTGCAATTCTTTTGACCAGCTCCAACCATCCCAACCTTATTCCATCTTGGAATGATTCTTCAACACCCCCAGGACCTCCAAAACTCAGCGCACCCACAGCCTGACAACACCCCTGGAGGGAATGCTTTTTGGCCAGCGCCGCCAAAAAGCCTCCCACGAAGGCATCTCCCGCACCGTTGGTGTCCACGATCCTGGGAAGGCCCGGTGGCCATGGCCTATTTGCTCCTACTTGTGGGGTGCAGGCCGCGGGGTTATTAGTGGGGTGTAACTATGGGATTTTAACCTCCATAAGTTGGGAGATAACCCCTACAACCATGATTATATATATATATATATAGATAATTCACTTGTTAGTGGAACTGCACCCCCAGACTGGTAGAATGCAAGATATACAAACAATCTGTCCGCAACACATTGACAGGGCAAATCACGTGATGGAAGAATCCCATCCAAATGCCACCAATATAAACCATACAGTGTGAAGGGCCAGTCCCAGTTCAAAGATACCACCTTAATTGTTCTGATATATATATATATAGTATGTATATGCATATGTATATGTATATGCATATGTATATGCATATGTATATGCATATGTAAATGGATATGTATATGTATATGTATATTTATGTATGTGTGTGTATGTGCATGTGTATGTGTGTATGTATGTATATTTATGTATGTGTATGTGTATGTATAATTATGTATGTGTGTGTGTATGTGCATGTGTGTGTGTGTGCATGTGTGTGTGTGCATGTGTGTATGTGTGTATGTGTGTATGTGTGTATGTGTATATGTGTCTATGTGTATGTGTGTATGTGTGTATGTGTGTGTATGTGTGTGTATGTGTGTGTATGTGTGTGTATGTATGTGTATGTGTGTATGTGTGTATGTGTGTATGTATGTATGTATGTATGTATGTATGTATGTATGTATGTATGTATGTATGTATGTATGTATGTATGTATGTATGTATGTATGTATGTATGTATGTATGTATGTATGTATGTGTATGTATGTATGTATGTATGTATGTATGTATGTATGTATGTATGTATGTATGTATGTATGTATGTATGTATGTATGTATGTATGTATTATGTGTATGTGTATGTGTATGTGTATGTGTGTATGTATGTGTGTATGTATGTGTGTATGTGTATGTGTATGTGTATGTGTATGTGTATGTGTATGTGTATGTGTATGTGTATGTGTGTGTATGTATGTATGTATGTACGTACGTACGTACGTACGTATGTGTTTTATGTTATATGTTATATGTTATATGTATATGCCAAGCAAAATGGTAAATGTTGACACGACCACCAAGCATCTGCTCCAGCGCCAAGGGTGCAACCGGGTACCGTGACACCACACCACGGATTGCCACAACGGTTGGTTCGGCACCTCCAAGCGATAAAGCAATGGAAGATGATGGCAGGGTGGAAATTTGTTTCATGATTCAATGTCCTTCAGCCAATGTCCTTGGAGCTGGAGCATCTCACATCCTACAGCTAGTTGCAATTGAAAGCCCTTGGTGCAGCTATCATTATCCTATTATGTCCGTATTATTTCTCTATCATTTCCCGAATGTGTCCTTATTAGTTCCCTGTTATGTCCCTATTAGGCTCCTATTATTTCCGTATAATATCCTGTTATTTCTTTATTATTTACTTATTTACCTATTATTTCCCCATTATGTCCTTATGAGTTCCCTATTATTTCTCTATTATTCATCTGTTATTTCCCTAGTATGTCCCTATCATGTCCCTATTATTTCCCCAGTACCATTTCCCTACCAATTCTTCACTATTTCTCATTATTTTCCTTTTGTTTCCGTGTTATTTCCATACTGTTTCCCGATGATGTGTCCCTTGTGCCCCTATTATTTCCCCATGGTTTCCCTTTTGCTGTTTCTTGATTAGTTCCCTAGTATTTCCTCATTATATGCGTGTTATTTTGCTATGTTCCCTATCATTTCCGTATCATTTCCCTATTGCTTCCTTATTGTGTCGTCCTTATTATGTTGTCCTTCTGTTTCCCTGTTCTTTCCCTATGATTTTCTCATTATGTCCCTATGATTTCTCTATTGTTTCCCTATTATTTCCCTAGTATGTCCATAGTTCGCTATTTCTTCACATTTATTTGGTATTATTCCTTACTGTGAGGCTAGTATGCTAAACAACCTGACCAGCTAATAATAATAAATAATATGATCATCCAAGTGCCCATCGGAAATACAAGGATTTGACCCTCAAAAAAAAAATAAACCACCCAACAAACCATTAAAAATCCAATAGGCACAGCTACAATTACAACTGCTGCGATCCCCCTGGAGAGCTGTGCCCAACGGTATGAAAGCAAAACCAAAAAATCGCTACGACTTTGATCCTTGACTGTGTTCCTTAGCTCCTTGAATCATTGAAGAAATGTCTCCTCCACAACCTGCCAATCTGTGGCACCTTGCGTGATCACCACTTTGCGCGGGTCTTTCTTGCCTGCCATTGGCACCAAGGACCTCCAGTCGCGGGGCCCGCTTGAAAGCCATTGATGCTTTTCCCCACCAAGCATTATCATTCATTTCTATGCAAGCATTCTGTCTTCAGGGTTGCTCCCAACACCCCAGATACAGGGAGGGGAAATTGACTCAGTAGAGAGCGAAGGTAAAATCACCAAATATCACCTATTTCCCCCCTTGTTGCGATCATTTAGCTACAAGCTTGGATGGGCTGCAACCTTTCATCAGACACCTATCAATTCGGAGATGATCTCATCTGGAGCAGAGCCACAGGCGCGTGGCAATGAACTCCACGTCGCTTGTCTCCCAGCCAACTGCTTCGGCATAGGCTCTCGCCTCCTTAGTCGGGGGATGCGGCCGATGCCTCGACCCGAAACGACCCAAGCTGACAACATCCCCAGCCCAAGCGTCAGTTTCATTGCCAAACAAGATGTCACACTGAGGTAGGGCCTGGCATCACGGTGACAGCTGGAAAAGGAAGATGTGCTTCTGCGCACGAGCTTGAACGATCAGCTCCCAAGGGTGATTCTTGAGGAAAGTTGCAACTATTGAATGCTTTCATTGCTTCATGTCCAGGGAAAGAACATGAGTATCATGACAGTCTGGCATGAAAGTGTGATGAGTGAATGCATTTTTACCAACAGGCTGCTCCTATCATGACTTTCCACTTGGAGGGACGATTGTTGTTCTTCCTTGCCAAAAATCAGAGTCCTTGTAAGCTGTCAATCCATATAAATACCAATAAAGGAACTCTGAACTCCGAACCACTATGAAAATCACCCGTGTTTTCTTGGCAAAACAAGCCACGTTGGCATATCCATAAGGTTTTCCCCATGTTTTTGATCACCCGGAGCCTTCTCTAAGACAGCGCGGAAGCTGGGCACTTGCACAATGAAGGCCGCTGAGAGGTTCAGGCAGTAGATGCTGCCGCTCATCTCTGTGACCTTTGCTGCCGCGGAATGTATCCGCAAATACCATGTATAGATATACTATGATATACTGATATACAGTATACATGTACTATGCGGTATGTACATAGATGGATGGAACTGTCTTGGTTCAGATTTAGACAGTTTCTGAACCACAGGAGGAAATAAACGGTAGCGGTAGCGCCAAGTGAATATCATGGCCATTCCTTCACCACAGAAGCTTGGATCAAACCCGCCACGGGGTACAGCCTGAGGTGCCGAAAAGATTACCCAAGTTACCCAGTTCCGCCTTTTTTGTCATGAAAACATGGAATCTCTGCTGTACCAAAAATCTGTTTTGCGTGTTCCATGACCTATCTGTATTGGATGAGTACCCATCAAATCGGCGCCTTGGATGCCAGCTCAATGGACTCTGGAGACACCGTGATGAAGAAGCCAGCACTGTAGACCTGACAGGTAAAGCTTGGGCTTCAAGGTCAAAATACAAAAGGCTATGGAAATCAGCATGTTTCATGGGTAAGTCATCTGCAAGTGGGTCATTTTCCATGGATATGTTAGCTTACTGAAGTGTAAACGGTCTCTAGTGAAAATGTGACTCTGGGTCCTGTCGAGGTTCTCTGAAGAAGGAAAAAATTGTCTGTGTGTGTGCACATTGCCTGGAAACAATGGGGTGAATGCGAAAGTTCACAAAAACGATTGCGCTGTTTCTGCTCGGACCAGGGTGCACTAAATGTTAGCTAATTTCAGGTTGGACTGTCGCTCTTACAAAAACGTGCTGTCACTGAACAGTTTTCTATAGTTATCTATAGTTTTCGACAGATTCTGCTTGATAACTAATCAAAGAAACTCAACATGTCAGGCTCCAGCCCAGCTGCTATCTTCGCCGACTTCAATATATTGAAGTTCCTTGGTTCGCGGGGCGCGCGGCGAACTGCACAATTCATGAGAGAAGAATCCAAGGGATTGCTTGACGCGACGGTAGATCAAGAAGGTGAAAAAAGTGACCACTGATCACACCAATGAGTACCGAATCAAATGAATTGCCTGGCAAGTCTTTGCCAAGTTGCTCTGGCTCCTTCAAGTGGCTCACTGTGTATTTGTTGGCTGCACCCAGTCGGGTTGTCAAAGAACGTTCTTTGTCCACGATGGTCACTGCACAGGTTCCAGTTGGTGTCTCTTTGTCAATGAGGTACCTGAAGGATTCGCGAGCCAGGCATAGCCAAGGGGGCCAGGGTCCCAGATCGGAGGAGGCTCTCCTTTCTGCCCAACCATCAACATCCCAATCCGACCACTTGCCAAAGATTGCTACCTAGCAGGACCTTGCAAATTGCAACCCTGCAGTTTGAAGCTCCCACATCCCTGGCCTGGTCGTTACACCATCCTCCTCGCATGCCTGTTGCAACCTCCGACCAAAAGCATCATCTCCGATGCAGCCCATGTAAGCCGTCATCTTGGGTTCCTGATGGGACAAAACGGCAAGTCAACGCACCTCAACTACCCATCCCGCACTGATTTTACAGTTCATTGCGATGCTAATCGCCATTGAGATCAGGATTCACAGAGAATCACTGATGAATGGTCTATGCTGTCTATAGTCCACACAGAAAATCACTGATACTGAATGGTACTTATATAATCTTATATACTCTCCATCAACCTTGGCAGAAACCATCTTCGGTTGTGCCGTCCTGCAACATCCACTGGGCCACCCGGATGGAGTTCTGCGTGGCGCCGCCCGCGACATATTTCACCTGAACCAAAGGTCACCAGTCACCAACCAAATAAACATAAATTTCCACTACTACGTATAGTGATGTATTGTGTTTTTTTACCATTCAAAATGTTGAGCAACCACCATCTACAAGTGTGGTTTAATCACCAAACGCGAACAGTTTAATCCCTGTTCCGGATCAATTGCTTGGTTAGTTTGAGTTCCTGCTGAACTGTTTCCAACGTTTCATGCGGCCATAGCAGAGTGCAGCGATCCTTTTAATGTCTGCGTTGGGGTCTTGAGCCAAACATTGCGTTTGGCCAAAGGTCCATTGAAATATGTGGGAGTTAGTTACACTGTACTCCCGTCTAGTCCCCATTTGCACCCCCCATGTTCGGCATTATGTGGATTTGCCGAACACGAAGGATGGGAACTTGTTAATTTCCGCTGATGTACATATGCTCGAATTAGCTACTTGTGTGGTTCACCCTCACCGGGCGCTCGCTGAGCGTTACCGGATCGGAATCCCCGCAACATTTCTGGCTTCGCAGCTAGCTATCGGCATTTGTACAAAAGAAAAGATTGGAAACTTCGAATTGGAATAGGCTACATCGAATTGAGCTTGGTGAAAAGAAAAGAAACTAAGCTAATCCTGTACAAGGCCTCGCTCAGAGTCCTCTCACCAGTCAATCTGTGTGATGTTCATCAGTGAAGATGGAGTACACCACATAGTGCCCAGACGTCACCAGTACCGGGCGCTCGCTGAGCGTTACCGGTTTGGATCAGTCAGTGCGTTTCTTCTTGTATTGAGGTGCTGGTTGTGGTTTGTCTGTGGGAGAAGGCCGAGATGATTTTGCCGACGTTGGCATCTGCTTTGGTGCAGGTTTGGCTTTTGCGGGGCCGGCTGCAGCAGATGATGATGAGCTTGAGTAGCTTGGAGCACTTGTTGGCGCAACCTTTGGTGGAGGTGACCTAGGGCCTTGACCCTTTGGACCGCCTCTCGATTTGGCCTCTGCTTCAGACGCACGTGCCTCAGCTCTGGCGACGTCATCAACAGCTCTCTTTGCGCCCTCGGTGCTCCCAATTGCCTTGTAGACATTCTGCACGACTTTTGGATCAACATTTGGTGCAATGTGGTCCATCCATCGTACGTGCCCTCGTGCAGCTTCTTGTTCGGCGCGTTTGATTGCATGCGCGATCCTTCCGATGAACGCTTGTGGAAGGTCCACATTGGGTTGCAGTTACCAGCAACTCCAATTGGCGTTCTTGTTCCCTGTAAGATAGGTAGACCGCAAATGCAGGAATTTCAAGGCAATCCTCGAACCCATGGTCACCAGCTCGAAAGTAGGTGTATTGTGTTGAGTTCGGGAAGGCACTCTTCAATAATCTGCATAGGAAGCTGCTCATTTTGGCTCTCATCTCATTCTTTTCTTCGGTGGTGCCCTTCATCTTGTTCATTGGAATAAGAAATTGGAGATCCTCAGGTTTGTATCCAGCGAGCACCAGTCGCTCCATGAGCTTCTCATAAATCCCCAACGTCTTGACCACAGTCATCAACATATTTCTTGGGCGCCCCCCATACATCATTTCTCCTTGCATCCACTCTTCCTGCTTGGCCTTGGCACGGAACATGACGTCGAGTTCCTCCTCGGTGGGGCGTCGAAGCGCTCCGTCATCATCTTCGCCAGTGTATGGGCATTTGCCATCAAGGTCCAGTCTTCCTACGCGGCCGGTTGTCATTTCGGCTCGGTAGTCTTCAGGTGTCATTTGGACCCTTTGCCTGTAGTAGTGCCTGTACATGCCCATGATCTTTGCCAAGACAGCGTTGTCAAAGAGCTGTGCCGCGCCTTCGGATGAGTCAGTGTTGATCATCCCCATAGCGGGCAACCGGATGCTCCCAACGTCGAGGTTCAATGCCCACTTGGGCATCTTGGCCACCCCTGGGGCAGCCTCGGCCTCTCCAGCTTCTTCCTCCTCTTCATCATCGGCGAGACTTCTTCGTCATCTTCTGCTTCGTCCATCTCTTCGTCGCCTTCTTCATCATAGTCGACCTCGCTCGGGTCAAATCCATAATCGTTGTCTTGAGAAGCACCTTCTTGTGCCTCGTGGACAACATCCTTGAAGATGGTTTCTTTGTTTCGGCGGATTTCTTCATCAAGCTGCTGCTTCGTGGTTACCTCCTCGTCCTCTTCCTCGATGATTCTGTATGGCTTTAAGCCATGACTCTCTAGGGCTGTCCAGCATGCCAAACAGATGGCAAAGACAGTTGGCGTCTCCTTGAGACAGTGAGGACAATACCGGCACCCCGATTCTGTGACCGGTTTCTTTTCGAGTATGTAATCCACGAGCCTGATGCGCCCTTCGTATTGTTCTTTTCCACCTTCAGGGATCAAGTGGTTTTCGAACTTGTCGACGAGGCTCATGGCATCCATGGTGAGCTCGTCGAAGGGCTGCTCTTCCACGCTCAAGCATTGCTTGGCCAATCGCAGCAGGGACTCCTTGGTCGCAACGATAGAAGACTGTACTCGTCCAATGCGGACGACCTGTTCGTCTCCTGTCTTCACAATCAATCGATCCCATGCTGTCTTGGAATTCTGAATCCACCCGCCTTTGATCTTGGAGAACGGGATGATCTGGTCTGTCACCACTTGTCCTGAATCAGTTAAACGTCCGTTGAACTCGTTCATCAGGACCTCCGTGGGTATGAAAAGGCAAGTGTATCCTCCCTTTCGCGTATCAACGCTTTTCGTGATTTTCCACGATCTCGGATCCCACGGTGCATACGGGTTGAAAAACGTAAAGATCCTCCAGCTGGTGTTCAATCCTCCTGGGATTAAGCCTTCCTTCCAGATTCCTCGAAGGTTTCGGCTGGAGGTGATGTGGAAGCAGACCGGCATCGCCACTACTGTGCTTGGTGCCAATGGGTGTGAAAGTAGTGTAGACTTCAGCTCGACGTCGTTGTTTCCACGAACGTCGCCATGCCCAGTAGGGGCTCTCACTGCGACAGGATACAGAATCAGTCCTTCCGCAGGGATGTCAGTGGCGGTCGATACACCGTTACACCGACAGGTTGGACTGTTCCGATCAATGTCGGGAAAGATACCAAATGCGAGCACCTGTTCACGAACACGTCGGCCGTACCTGGCACAGTAGAACATGATCTTGAAGAGCGTCTGCAACCTGAACGTTGCTTCTTGCTCGTCCCAATTTTCCTGGACTCTTTCTTTCCCACGGGGAATCAGGTATGCATGAGGCCACCTCAATCTTTCGTGCCTCCAAATGGCTTCATTCTGAAGCACATCATTGATCGGGACCCATCCGGCATCATCACATGGCAAACTTTGAGGTTCGGAAGCTTTTCCGATGTGATGCCGAAGGATGCGATTCAGGTCCGAGCTCACTTGATCTTCGTAGTCTGAGAGCTTGTTGCGCTGCCCGAATCGGTAATCGACTCCATATTCAACACCGCTGTAAAATTTGTAGTTGAAAAAATGACAGCCTGTGTTGGGAACGATCTTCAAGAAGCCGTCCGTCGGTGCCTCGACTCTCTTGTAGAGTGGTTTGCGGGTGTTCTTGTCAGTGTAGGCTGCAAGGAATTCTGGAACTTTCCAGATGTCACCTCCTCCACGCATGACGGCGTCTCGAATCACCTCGTTGAGGTCATTGCTCGTCATTGGTCCTTCAGAGACTATGTCACGGCCATCGATGCAGAATCTCCCTTGTTCATCCAGATCTCCGACTTCGGACATCAGACGGCTGTCATCATACCAGTGGTATTCTCCTGTTCGGGCCGTGTCTGGTTCTGCTGGCCCTTTGGACTCATCAGCCTTGTCCGGTTCTTCTTTCATCTTCTCACCTTCTTGTTCCATGTCGGCGTCGGAGCCTGAACTTTCTCCTTCAAGTGCTGCTCTGACTGCATCAAGAGCCTTTTTGATATCAGCTCTTTTGGGATCTTCGCATTCATCATGTGTATGCTTTGTGCTTCCGCAATAGATGCATACGTTGACGTCTTCTGATGCAGTGAAGAAGTCCCCAAGAGCATCGAGAAGGTATTGTTTTCCGGATCTCTCCGAAGCACGGGCGGCTTCTGCGTCGGCATCAGTAGGCTCCTCAGCTTCTGGTTCGTCAGGCGGGGCTGATAGCCCTTGACCCAACTCATCATTGGCTTCGTTACCTGCATCAGCCTCTTCGTCCATGTCGACGTCATCTGTGATGTTGTATTTCTTGCGGAACTTCTCAATCACCTGTTGCTTCTCCCATGCTGTCATGCAGTCAAAGTTGGTGAGGCTTTCATACTCGGGGATAGTGTTGATGATCGTCATTACTTCCCCTGCCTCTGACGTCTGGAGAGTGCAATCAAAGGATCCGCGTCTCTTGTCGTTCGTGGTGAAGGTGGTCCTTGCCATGGATCCAAATGCAGTCAATGCCTTTTCCAAACCGTTGAGATATTCGGTCGGGTCAATGTGCTCATCGAACACGTCAATGACGCCCTTGGCCATGCTGGCGATGTCAAGAACTCCAAGCCAGAATTCTATGATGTCGCCCACTTTCTCAGCAGTTGCTCTGGTAAAGGCAAAGATCTCATTTCTTTCCTTCAGCCCTGGGACTGCAACCTGTTCGAAGAAATCTTTGTATGCGACGTTGCCGCAATCTTTGGTGACCCTGAAGGCTAAAATCCACTTTCCAGGACCTGCATCATAGACCCTTTCTCGGTAGATGCTGAATTGCTTGCCGCGGCCATTCTTGAAGATTTCTTTGGCCTGATTGTAGGGAATGCGAACACCCCCCATGTGGGACAGTGATTTCATCAGCTCTTCACCGTATTTCAGGCACTTGTTGCTGATCACGGACGCTGCCGCAAATACCAGCCACTTTTGAAAGTCCTTGCTGATGTCGAGTTTGTCCAAGCCGCAATTTCTAAATGCGACTTTCAGGCGTGCCGCAAGCAATAGCACTGACTTTCGTGCGCCCAGCGTAGGAGCCGATTTTCGGTAGTGGTCCTGAGTGTTCGCTGAGCAATTGATGCACGAAGCAGGCTTGTGCTGAGCAATTTCAATTTCATCCATGGTCGTGGCGGCTCTGCAACGATCACAAAGGAAATCGACACTGTCAGGAAACACTGGGAACCAGTAACAGTTGAATGGTCAAGCTCATGAGATCTTGCCACTGGCTCGACCCACTGAGCTTTGTGCCGTTTGTCCTTGTTGAATCTTGTTGTTGTTGTTGAGCCTGCAGTGGAGGTGCCCTTCTGGTAGATCGGCACATCACCTTTGGCATAGTCTTCTGGGGTCATGTCACCGCTTGCAATCCTGAACACCTGAGTGGCGCCGGTGACATCAGCGAGCATCTCCGCATTCACGCCAGAATGTTTGGGTCGATATGCGCCCTCGTTGAGGGTTGACACATGATCCCGGTTCGAGGCGCACATAAGGAAAACGCGCTGTCTGAAAAGGTTCTTCTCAATTACAGACCATATTGCATATTTACCAAGAGTACCTTTTCGAGTCGCCCTCAGTTCTTTGAATTGGCTGCCAAATTGTGAGTGCATCGATCTCCACATTCTCTGATCGGTGGTTACCATCACTCCCTCCCTCTTCAGACTTTCAGTCAACTCAACAGCCAGCCTGGATGTGATAGAGTCCACGCCGTTGAACAGGGAGTCAGTGTTGATGGCGACGATCACGGGTCTTGATGAAGCTTGGTCAAGTTCGGTCAGGCATTGGATGAACTCCTTTTGAAATGATGGCGACACCACGACGTTGTGTGGCGGCTTGGCGTCATGCAGGAATTGAAGCGACAACCAAACATGGACAGTGGCTTGCCCAAGATCGTTCAGACCATGGCTCAAATGTTCAATGACGTTGCTGACAGTTTCACGAAGCTTGTCGATGGGCTGTGCGGCTTCAGATTCATGGATTTTGAACAACTCGATGTTCCACCCCATGTCGCGCAGTCCCATGCCCAAGTCGTGCCTGCCAGTCGATGTACTGATATGATGAGCCAGGTCGGTGATCAAAAAGGTCGATCCCTGCCTGAACTTGCCCGATAACACATCGGAGTTCTTCTGTGTTCTGGGGTTCTCGACGATCTCGCAAGCCAATGGATTGTAGATCTTCTTGACAGTTTCCCCCAAGCCTGACAAATGTGCTACTTCCGTGTCATTCTTGCCGAGCATCATAAGCAATCCAGCGGTCGACAAGTAGCACCCCGTACGGGTTAACCCATACGTTCTCACTAAATGACTGTAGCACCTCAACCAATCTTTCTCAGAGATTTTGGCGGAGTCTGCATCTGTTACAACATTATTGTTGCACACACCGAATACCATGCAACCATATGCTGTAATCCTACGCAAATATTGTGCCCAACCAGAAATGTGACTCCCAGCAGCTGCAGGTCCTTGGACGATCAAAAGCAGAAATGCATCGTTGTCATTCATCCATGCCGATGAGGAAAACATAGTTTCTCTGTGATCGGGGCATGATGATGAGAACAACTTGTATCCGATAGGCGGCTCTGGGATCACCCAGTCAGGAGGATGATCAGGTGGTTTTGGTCGCGCCTTCGGAGGTGGCTTCGCAGAGCTCCCCGTTGCTCCAGTTGATGAGGAAGCGCCGCCCCCGGTGGGGGTTGGGCGTGCCTTCGGCTCAGGTGGAGGTGGAGAAGGTGCTGGCCCAGCTTGCGCTTTCCTCCTCTCGTCATCGGCAGCAGACTGTTGCTGGTTCATCATTACTATCGGGTGTGGGTCCCAGGTCGGAGGGACTGCCTGCGCCGGAGGATACCGGCCATCCTTAGGCAGGAGCGGGACGCTCCAATTGTCAATGTGTTGGGTCTCAGTGACGCCCTGGGCGACCTGGCTCGACGATGTGGTTGTGAGAAAGTCACGGATGCAAGAAAAGGTTCGGTTCCTCTTCTCAATGGCGTCGAATGAGCCCTGGTCGGCGCTTGCGACGTTGTAGCCGCCAATCTCCCAGATGTCATCTCGAAGATCGAAAGACCCTTTCACACTCTTCAGCTTGTTCTGGATGGTCTTCCTGACGCCCTGCAGGTCTGGGTATGTTTCCATCTTGGTGGCCCATTCGTGCAGCATGTTCGATGCCATGAGCATCGTCTGCAAATGAATGACGGCAGCCGTCCTCTCAAGCGACAGGTCATACCTCATTGACATCCAGTCCTCCAAGACGTCCTGCAGGATGATGCATTGACCAGGAGTGCCGGCCTGGTGCATCTTGGCGTTGTGACGCCGAAGTGCGTATCCAAGGTTGGCGCCTTCGCCTAACAAAATCTCCCAGAGCGTCTTCGCTCTATTCTCGATCTCAGGCAGGCTGGTATGGTCACGCTCCATGATGTGGAATGCCCACTTTTCCCAATACACTCTGGTCATGGTGTACCAGGCTGCTCGCAACCTGATATTGTGACAAAGGCTATTTCCGGGAGGATGTGACTGGTTCAATGATCCCATATTCACGATACTCGTGCTGGAAATCTTCTCTCTAAGCTCACGCACTGTCACTGTTTTGTTGATCATGTTGTTGGTGCCGGAGTACTGACGTTTCAAAGTTTCCCAGAATTCTCCGACTCTAATGGCGCACTCCTTGGTGCACAACATTCTCAGGAAGCTAAAATCATCACCTCGAGCTCCCCGTTCAACTAGCTTCGACAGTGTTGAGGCCTTGTCCACAAAATCTGAGACGGTAGAATCCAGTTCTTCCGCATCTGTCACTTGCATCATCAATTTCAGAAGAAGATGGATGGCATGGGACACATGCGTTCTGAGAATCCTACCAGCGACGAAGCCTAATGCAATCACCACTGATGGAGGAATCTGTACGACTGTTATCCAGTTTTCCAGGTCTCGATCAGGGTAAAATCTGCTGTCAGCTTCCTCATATGTCGAAAAGGCTTTTGGCAGTTGACCAGCCTGACCCTTGGTCTCTATCAGTTGCAGCGTCTTCTTCAAAGCTGCGTACCCTTTGGCCGCGGAGACAGTGACGAGCTTCCTCTCTGCCATCGCGTCGATGATACCAGCCAGAGGGGGGTCCAGATCAGCTGTAGACCGTCCGCGCTGCGGATTGAGCCTTAGCTTCACCTTCACACCACCTCGGCGGCAGATCCAATCAAATAGAAGTTGGTCAAGTTGCTGGTTAGTTCTGTCTTCATCCTCACCATTAATAACAGATGTGCATGTGCATGCTTTGTTCCTTGGTTTGTGATTGTTCATTTTGTTGTTGACTTTCTTTGGTTGCTTTGTCCCTTCAGCAATATTCCACAACATTTGATTCTTCACTCCTCGAATGATACATCTTACAATCTTGTCCGTGTACAATTGTGTTGCACGAGTTTCTCTACCTGCACATGGACCATGTGGATGTGAGCCATCACATTTCTCATGCAAGTCAAAGAATGAAACCCCCCACGATACGATCCTCCATGGTTTCTTGATGGCCATGCCTGCATCTTTGAATTGCGACTTCAAGCCATACATGCATCCATCAAATTCATGAATAGTAGAGTCTGTACCACTGATCATGAACTTCATTCTTTCATCGTTCCAATAATCGCATCCACGTGGTAGCTCTGATAGTGCCATTGCAAACATCTCATGTACATGCTGTAAACACAATGCAAATTCTTCCCAAAGCTCCCAATACAACATTGCTTTCATGCGGATGTTGTGAGCAGTGACATCGCTGACATTCTTGTTTAACCGATTCCATGGAGATCCTCCTGCGCAAGGCCCAGCGAAGAACACGCAGTCACTCTCACTTCGAATGCACCTCCGCCATTTGGCCCTACCAAAGTTCGACAACAGGTTATCGTCTTCGGTAATGGTGACGATGTGCATCAGTCTAAACCGTTCTTTGCGATGTATTTTGGTCATAATGCTTTGCGTCTCTGCGCACATGAGAAGTAAACATGGGGTTTCGTCTTTCATCTCATGCAACTCCAAACATATCACAGTGTCGTTGAGAAGTCCACCGACAAAATCATATGATGATCTTTGGAAGTTTTAAGTCAAGGTTGATCCATTCTTTCGATGTAGTACCATTTGGAGATCCCAATCCTTGTCCTTTCTGGTCTCATGCTTCAATTTGTATTGATGGGCAATAAACATGTCATCCACTGGAATGATTTTCATGTTGCCATCAAAGGTGCAGGTGACTACGGAGTTCTGACACGATGCCCTGTCCTCCACGTCAGATCCACTGTCCAAACGGTTGTTGATATCGGCGTTGGAAATGATCTTGAATGTAGTAGTCCCTGTCCAAAATTCATTTCTTCTATTTGTTCGTTCGATGTTATTCCCTGCCAACCTCCATGAGTCATTGATTGTTCTTCCGCTTGATTGGAACACTTGGTATGTTTCTCGATCATCCCGGAATCGTTTCAATCTACATGGTAGGAAATCAGCTTCCTTGGGAACAAACATTCTTCTTCTTGGGGTTTTGTGCACTCTCACCAGTGTAACTTCATCCTTCCATACCCATTCATCCTTACAATCCTCATTCTTGGGGTTCTTTCTTGCTCTTCTTGATGGTGTGGGATTGAGGAATATGTCTCTTGACACTCTCGTGTGGGCTACATCACCACCAGCAAAAACAATGCGACGTCGTTTCGGAACCTTGTTTTCTGTAGGATACGGGTCATCATTGATTTCAGGAGCCCCCGTTCGGGGTTGTCCCATTGGAAGGCTACCCCAACCTGAACTCCCCCCATGAACAACTCGAAGAAGCGTGTTGATCACCCGAGCTGTGCCAAGAGGCGCTGCATGAATGGTTGTAGGTTGGTCTCCAATGGATTGGTGGCAAAACAACTGATCAGCTCCAATAGTCAGTTTAGGGTATTTCTGGACGTCGATCTGACGAGATGGCACCGATACGGCAGGCCCTGGTCGTGCTTGTGACGCCGGGGGTCGCGATGAGACTTGCCCGGAACGCCATGCAGCAGCAGCAGTTGGTTCGCCATCAGTGGATTGATGATACTGGAAACAAGCACGTTCTACCCATTGATCAAAACGGTCTTGTTGTTGAACAGGGTGAGCTCGATCCTCTACTTTAATCCACTTGCCATGGGTCAAGATCCAAGTGCTGCGTAAACAATCTTTGGGTAATGACAAACCGCTTGGACGTTTCCGGAAATAGGTCGGCGTTTTAACGACCAAAATAGGATCCATACCGGGTAATTGTTGTACCTGTTCCTTGCCAGAAAGACCCTTCTGATACACTTCAGGTGGTAGAATAGGAATTTCAGTGTAAGGAAAATTTGGTACATCATTGGTTTTGGTTTGAAAAACTTGGCGAACCGTGGTGTCGACATTGGTAGTCGGTGAAACCATGTCAAGCAGTTCCTTCGAGACGATGTCACCAGGGTCCAATAAATTAATAAGCATGCAAGCTCTCTTCCATGACAGGGGGTTCTTGAATCCTTTGGTGTGAATGTCGGCGGCCATTTTAGAAGTAACCTCGTACATCAATACGTAGTTCTCCCTTGTAAAATGTTCATGGAGGGATGTGATGGCTATGCCATGGGTCCTCTCAAGATGCCGCATAGTGGGGTTACGACCCGACCTGACAACACCGATCATGCCCTGATTGTCATCATGAAACAATAATTTGGGCGATCTCCCTGTCAATGTTTCCCAGATACTTAATGCAGGTAAACCCATCGTTCGAAGTGTGACGTCTGCTGCCACGATTTCAGCCTCAGGTGTGGAATGACTTACGCATCCCTGTCGTTTGCTGCCTCCAGACAACGGGAAGCGGGTTTGTTTTCCCTGTATGTGCATATGAGATCCAGATGTAGATCTCAATGTTTGTGCACACCCTGCAAAATCCGCATCTGCGAATAAAGATAATGACAAATCGTCAAATTTGTTGCCAACCCATCCAGTCATACGTTTTGACAAGCTTGAGTTGACATAGCACATTAGATGACACAGTTTAGCATCATCGTCGACTGTCCATTTGGTCACATTCCTGGCCAAAGAATTAATAGACCGTAACAAGTCGAACCGTGCGATCCTGGCAGCGTAAAGCAACTTCATGAGCACGCTGGCAGCATGTGGCGCCAAGGCGCCTCGTGCAGACTCCCCAGGGGAGACGTCTTCCCCTATGGTCCCGGGTTTGTAGAACTCCGGAGCGTCTGGATCAAATTCGTGCAAACACCAAGGACAGGATACCTTCTTCTTGGGATCCCCTGGACATGGTGCCCTTGATTTGTGTTTCTTGGTTTCTTCAGGTAAACTTGGTGTTGATACATGTTTCAACTTTGTATCTTTCCCAACAATGTCAAGATACCTTTCAACTGACAGTTTCAACAAACCCTCCATGTCGTAGGTCATAGTTGATACCGGGGTACCATCATGAAGTTTGGAAGATCCCTTGCTCAAAATGCATCCCAAATAGAGCCCCAAATCAGTCTCAGGCTCATTTCTAGCTTAGAACGAAGCATCTCCAATCCTTTAGTCAGGTTCTCTTCCGGACCAGCCAGTTTCAGGTCATCAACATAAATAACCAGTAATAATTGAAGCTTCTTGTGAAAGTACATTGACGGCCATTCTTCACCAACGGGTACAAAATCTAACTCCCGTACTTTCCGATCACAATGCTGTTCCCACATTGTACCTGAATCAGGATGACCATAGAGTGCTTTAACTAGTCTCACTACTGGTCTACGGAACTTCCGGAAGTCAATGTCATCTGGCCATGCATCTTCGGGTAGTTCTACCCAACATGGTGGCCCTGTGAGGACTGCTTGAATGTAAGCTTGGATGGCATCTGCTAGTTTTACCCCATGACCCGGCAAACAACCATAAAATCTGCCCATCTCGACGCCTCAAAGGTTGCAGGTGAGTTGCCCAGGTCTTGGAAGAAGGCAGCTTCCCAGAACTGGTTCTTTACCTGATTGCCCAGCAATACTCCTCGTCCTTTAAACTTTCTGCTGGGGTTACCTTTGGGCAACTGGTAGTTCTTCTCGACGCAGATCCCATGGATCCTGGCCATGTGTACTTCAGTGCCATTCCTCTTTGCTTCTCGAACAACATCATCGTACTCCCTGACCACGCTGAAGTCATACACTCCAGCAGCATGTTGACCTAACCATTCCTTTCTCATAGCCTTCCTAGCTTCTTCATTTTCCATCATCTCTTTTCTGGCAACCGGTCTTGCCACTGCTGTGTTGAACATTTTGTTGATGTTAATTCCACCATCATCTGTTGTGATCTTGTCCCGGTGATGATCATATTGATGGATACACGGCATACAAGGGAATGAATGGAAATTCGTGTTTTGATTTGAAGGCTCAAGGACATTGGGTCCGGTATCATGCAATGTAGCTGTCGCTACTACCTTCCCCTGGCTAAAGTCATACATGTGCTTGCTGTGCCAAGTAGCCTTTGGGCCACGCCCACTTTCGACCTCAGACCATTCGTCCCAGTCGATGAGGAAGTCGTCATCAGCGGGGACATCAGTGTCGGATGATGAGGAAAGTGTTTCATGACTAGCGTTGGTCCCGCTCCCGATGGGAGTTGAGGACGTTTTACCAAACTGGAACACTTTCCCCTTACGGACATGATCTTGTGGTTTGGCTACTCCCGTAACGTGGTCATCTTCTCCATCTTTGGGTTTTGATTTAGATGATTTCTTGTCTTCTTTCTTCTTCTTCTTTTCTTCCCTTGCCTTGATCAACGCGTCGCTCTTCTTCTTCTCCACTTCAGCCTCCACTTTCTTCTCCTCAGCCTTGGCTATACTTTTCCGAACATCAGGTGATATCTTTCGCCATTCTTCTGGAGAATACTTGAATGGTCGTGTAGTGGATGAGATCCGACGACGACCGCGTTCATCAACTCGATAGGGATGGCCACGAGCGTTCAATTTTACCCATTCACCATCATCGTTCAGGTAGACAATTCCATCACCGGCTTTCCCTTCGGAGTAGTGTTCAGGACCTCCTTCAGGAATATCAAGATCAGGGTGAGCAGGCTTGTCAATACCTGGTGGTCCCATCCTTGCTGGACTATCAAACCTGCCCAGCATTCTTTCAGCTTCAAGTTCGCCTTCAGACTTTTCAGGTAGGGCCTTCGATGAAGGTTGCCCACCATCATCTCCTCCGCCGTCATCACCATCATCATCATCATCGTCGTCAGGAGGAGGTGGTGGTAATATCTCAGAGTTCCCATCCAATCTGTCTTTGACCTTCAGACCTTCAATGGTAACATTGATTCTTTCGTACTCAGCTTTGCAAGGGAATTCCAAGGGTTCCTTCAATTCAACCTTTTCGGTGTAATGTGGTGCGCGCAACTTTGCAATTGGCTTCTCAGCATCATATGCTAGGTTCTGTTTGGTCCAATCGCATAGAGCCCACACACGGTACTTCCTTGACCAATGTAATCCCGGCCCCAATGAGTATCCAGCAAATACTCCAGGAATACCCATTGGATCAAACTTGTGCTGTTGTTCTCTGGCTCGAGCATCACTTGGTTTGAAGTACACTAGTGCACCAAAAGGAATCATCTTACCCTTGAATTCTTCCCCATGAAGCTTGCACCAAGAGCTGACCTCATCATCGTTGGGTTCGATGTTGAGCAGATGACTGACACATCTGATGGCGTACATCCAAAAACACGGTGGAATGCCAGCCTCAAGTAGACATGTCGTGGTTGCTACTAACACGAACTGATTGGTCCTCTCTGCAAGGGAATTGTGTTTGGTCTTTCCGGCCAATGATGTATCCATGGGAATTTTCAAAGCTTTCATGGCCTTGTCAAACTGAGGTGCATCGTCTGAGTACGCTTCACGGATCTTCCGTCGACCCATGAATTGTTTCACTGCCCTGATCACCGCATCGGTGTCCTTTCGAGCAGATGGGTAGGACTGCAGCATCCCTGTGTACCGATCACGAATGACGAAGATGGTCTTGTCATCACCATAATCTTGTTCGGCAATTCGACGATTGTCGACATAGTCAAACGTAATCAAGTCTCCGAACTTCGTGAGTTTGCGTTGAAATGCTCCTCTGAATGTCTTCCTATGCTTCATCTTTGCACGAACGCATGACTCACAGTAGGGATTCTTGTATCTATGGGTCAACAAGTGGAGCTTCGACCTAGCTTCGTTCTTCAATGTTCCTCTCTTGCTAAGCCTTACTCCTCCATCTTCTTCATCCACGTCGATGACATCATCATCATCTTCACGTGCTTCACCCTCAGGGATTTCTTCAACTTCTACGTCATGCTCACCTTCTTCGTCATCTGGACCAATACTTGGTTCATATTCATCATCGTCGAATTCTGCATATTCATCACCACGGTCATCAGGTTCATCGTCATGGCTTGCTAGCTCTTCAATATAATCAGGATCACCACCAACGGCAACTTCGGGCAAAGTCCTGTTCTTCTTCCTTTTGGCTTTCCTGACTTTGGCCTTCTTTGATGACTTGCTTTCAGACCGCCGGACGATGTCGGTTAGGTCCTCCAGCTCGTCACCACTTTCACCGTCAATGACCATCATGTTTTCACCCTCAGATGTAGAACATTCATCACTAATGACGTTGATAATCTTGGCAATTTGGGATGATGTCCCTTTCTTCTTCTTTTGATCAATGTTGATGTAAGGGATGTAATCTCTGACAGTCATTTCGATGATGTCGCCATTGGGGTCAATCATATATGGTGTCTTCCCTGATGGCCAGATGAATGAATACCCAAGGTCAACGCAACGTTTCCCCATCGACATCACTGATGGAGTGTCCTCCAAGATGTGTGCATGTGCAGGTTCGTCAAAGGCTTCGAACTTGATGTCAGAACGTTTGGTTGAACTTGTGACGCCATTGGCAGTGTGGAAGTTCACCACCGCGTCATCATAAGTTGGCAGATCCATTCTGTCAATCTTCTTGGCGGATATCAGGTCGTGTCCGCTCCCTGAGTCCATAATGAACCTCTTGTCTCGCTCCTCAACTGGGACCGTGATGCACATGACGTTGTCCCTTTTCCCGTAGCGCCCATCAACATGTTGTACATAACTTTCAGTGAATACTTCACGTGTGATATCATCATCATCATATTCCATTCTGATCATGATGTCCAATGTTGGGCCAACGACGATAAGGACTTCGTCAATGTCACTGTAGTCATACTTCTCATCCAGAATAATAGCCATTGCCTTACCACGACTTTGAGCAAGTCTGCAAGAGTAGGCCCACTGTTCATCTTTTCTAATCTCATCAGTGGTTCTGCACAACTTGTTGTGCCCTTTAGAATGAGTTTGGGACTTTCGTGAGCACCTCACATAGTCCTTCTTCTCATAGACATAGACTTCATCTTTCTGTGGATTGAACTTCACCTTCTTCTTCATTACATTGGAAGCAATCATGAAAGGTGGCTCATCTACGTCGCTGTCATCGTGGAGAAGTGCAGGGGCCGCTTTTGAGGACGATGGAGATTCTGTGTTTGGTGCAGTGCTGAACAAATGAGCGTCATGTCGTTTGTTACACTTGTCACCATATCGACATTTCCCTTTTGCCCAGTGCCAACAAGGCTCGTCGATCTTCTTGGTCTTGTTAGCTGGGGATTGTCCTCTGGGCGTCTTGCCGCCCCCTTTACCATGTCCACCGCTCTTGCTGGCGTCAAACACCTTTTTTGATCATGGCTGTACTCACAGTCCTTTCCTTTCCTGCAAGATTTCTTGATGAAGTGGAAGTGACATGGTATCTTCTTTTTGTCGCGAGGACTGGCACTTCGGCTCTTTGATTTTCCTTTTCTTCCTTGCCCTTTTCCTTTGGCATGTTGCTTCGGTTGAGGTGATGGTAGTACAGGAGCAGCATCAGACTTTGCTTTAGGCTTCGGAGCGGCCTTTTCCTTTGCATTGGCCTTCGCTTTCGCTTTGGCGTTTGCATCAGGAGGAGCTGGAGCAGTAGGAGTAGGCGCGGTCGGCCTACCACCGCCGGCGAAATCTCTGGCATACTTTTCCCTGGCCGCGACATGCTTGTCTTCTCTGATCCTAGCAATGTGGAGCTCAATCGCGTTGATGAGATACTGATAAGTTCTTCTAGGATCTCCCTCCAACCATGACTCATATTGCTTGATGTCATACATCATCAAATTGGAGTTTCTGATCTTCTTATACAGTGCATCACGCAACCAATCATCTTGGGGCACGTCCTCAGGCATCATGTTGGAGACAATCTCCATCCACTTTTCGTAGAACGTCTCAATGTTGGCATCACCAAGGTATCGTGATTGAATGATATGCTCCATAGTGAAGGCAGTTTCACGTTGACCTGGTGTCCTGAAATGCTCCAGAATCATGGCAAGAATCTCTCGCCCCATGACAAAGGTTGATCTTCGATTGCTGGCTTGGGTTCTCAGTCGAAGCTTGATTGCAACATGTCGAGCTACATCACCAGCTTGCGAAATGACGTTTGATAGTGCAATAGAAAGCTTCGCATCAATCGACTGAAACCTTTGCCCTCCGCTATCATTCAGAGCATCGATGTCAGGGTTTTGCCTGAGCGCAGGTTGTAACCAAGCTTCCCATGCGGCTCGATCGCCGTCGTTGGCAGCGAGACATACACTTTTAATCAGATCAGATTGCCAAACGCCCAAATTCTGGTGCTTTGGCCACGGACTGACATAGACTTTGTCCGCCTCCCGTCTGGATATCCTTGGAGGTTCCTCAGCGGTGAAAGCAGTCGTAGACTCCAAATCAATTGCTGAATCCCTCTGCGATCCACGGAGTGAAGGCAGACCAGGTGGATTGGGAGGTCCAGGAGGCCCGTTAGGATCAGGAGGCCCATCTGGGAAGTCAGGATCATCGTTGCCGTCAGGTCTTCGATAATTGGGAATTCCTGCTCCTTCATCCACGCTGACCCCTTTCCCATCCAGAATCTTCTTGTTGACCTCACGCAAGAGTTCGGTCACTCTCTGATTCTCATGATGTGAGGGTTGCTGATGTGCATGTCCTGTACCCGCAGCAGTGTTAGAATGAGCTGTTGCAGATTCTTTGTTGAGCTCGTCATCAAGCTGTCGAATCCAGGCACGTAGAATATTTGACTCATCATTTGCTGCCTCAACCTCACTCTCCAACTTGCCGATCATCATATAGGGTGACAGGGCACTGCTTGTGATACCTGCAGAGAAGGGAAGTGCATTGAGATTCTCTTGGCTTTTGATGGCTATCTCTGCGTCTATGAGACCTCTCCTTAATCTGGATATCTCCGCATCTTTCATCACCAATTTCTCATCCCTATCTCTCAGCTCACCCAAATATTCACATGATCGTTCGTATTGTTGGGCTCCTGTGGCTAGCTTGTACTTACGTTCACTCTCAAGCTCTGTCCTAAGGATGGCGACCTCGGATCCGAAGGGGGTCGACGACCCTTGCCTCGAAACCTCGGCCAATTCATCCTTCAGTCTGATGTTTGTGTACATACATTCATCCATTTCTTCAGAAAGATCTTGGGCCCTAACCTGTGCGACCTTAACCTCAGTTTCGAGATGTTGTATAGCATGTTGGTTAGAACCGTGGCCGATGGCCATTGGGCCCTCCTGAAGAGACCGTCTCAGTTTGACGTTTCGGTCCTCAATCTCTGTCTTGAGCTCGTTCGTCAGCGCTCGCTCATTGTTGTATAGCATCTCATAATGCTCCATCTTCTCGCGAGCATTTGAGCTGACGCTTGATTCAAACCTCAATTGAGCAATAGCCTCAGCCTCGGTGTTCCTGTAACTTGCAAACCGTTTGACTGTATCGTGTTCTGTGTTTCGATGACGTAGATCACTCTCCAGTTTAGCATTGTTGGCTTCATTGATTTTCTTGCGATACTCTCTAGTGATCTGCTCCATGTTGTTTTCATACAACTCGGCTTGCTTACGGGAATGACTGATTGCTTCACTCAACATTTGGTTCTCATCAGTGAGCTCGTTGACAATGAAGGCTTGTCTTTGACTTGTCATCTCCAAATGAGTATGTGAGAAGTTTGCCAGTTCGGATTGACTACGATATTCCACTATGGAACTTTCAAGATTTCTCTGCATCTCGTTTCCTTCCTTGTACAATGTTTCGGCTACACTCCTAGCAAGGCTACTGTCATGTTGCATCTGTTGAAGACGTGATTCAGTATGCCCCAGTAGTCCTTGAAGGTGGTGCACCTCGTCCTTGTACTCTCCCTGGATCTCAATACCACGTTGGTGGATTCGTCTGGCACCATGTTCAGCGAGTGCACCTCGACGTTCAAGTTCTTCAATACGAATGGTTGCACCTTCATCTTCCTTGGAGGCTAACATCAAATTCAGCATGGTATTCAGATACTTCATTCGTCGAGTACATCAATCGTTTGTTGAGGGTGTTGATTTCATTAAATACCTGTTGATTGTGTCCACGAAGATATTCGGTGAACTTGGCCTCAATGTCCTTAATGACTTGATCCCTTGAAGCTGCGTACATCTCGGTTTGTGTCACTTTCTCTCTCAGAATTTGACATTGCTCTCTAAGTTCTTCAATGATAGCTATTGGTTCACTGCTACCACGTGCTTCTGTTGATCTTCTTTTGGCACTGACATCACTTGACTCCCTACCATGTTTGTCCTCGACTGCCCTCGGGGTCCTGTGTCCGGTAGGTGTCCTTCTCGGTGATCGGTGGCTTCGTCGTGCATTCCCACTTCGAGCCACATCACGTGCCGATCTTGGAGTACTGGTGGTTGATGCTCTTCGATGTCTAGAAGTCATCTTTTGCCATCCAGATTTTGTCGTCCTTGTCGACTTTTCCCCGCTGTCAGCTGTTCCTGGAGAAGATTGTGATATACCTTCTGCAGGGGCTGCGGCGTTGCCGTCAAAGGTGAACTGCGTCTCTCCGCTGTCGCCTTGCATCTTTGTGATGCTGGTGCTGATCGGATTTCACGATCTTTTGCACCCAACGTTGGTTAACAGCACGCAGGTACTCCGCCTCCGATGGAGGTTGAGAGCCCTTACGGCTGATAACCTGCGAACAGTTTAATCCCTGTTCCGGATCAATTGCTTGGTTAGTTTGAGTTCCTGCTGAACTGTTTCCAACGTTTCATGCGGCCATAGCAGAGTGCAGCGATCCTTTTAATGTCTGCGTTGGGGTCTTGAGCCAAACATTGCGTTTGGCCAAAGGTCCATTGAAATATGTGGGAGTTAGTTACACTGTACTCCCGTCTAGTCCCCATTTGCACCAAAAATAGCGCAGCACATCATGATATATCAAGTAATCGATGTTAAGTGACGTTGGCTGCGCTAGTACGTCAATATTTGCACATCCGCATCTAGTAGCTGCCATCTGTCGTTGGAGATAGATGAAACATGGATAAAATGAGAAGCAAACAAATAAATCAACAAATATGTCAATAGGATCGATGGCTCATAAATCATCAAACAAGTAAACGAGCTGGGTTCCTAACCATGCGCGCTGCCTCAAAATTGACCATGAAAAAAACATGTTTAGCCGTGCATTCGTGCATCCAGGTTCTAACCGCGATCTTATTCTATATAGTTATACTTTTTGTTCTTAGTTTGATTGCATTGGTTTCACAATTCGGCTTTCTGATCGTGCATATGTTCTCACTCTTATAAGTCACATACAGATGAAGCGTGATGCACAAATGCAGGAGAGTAGGATGGTAGGAGGGAAGAGTGAGGTGGGTAGGAGGGCAGGAGGGGCAGAAGCTTGTTAAGTTTTAAACAGCGCTGTTTGACAATATGATCTACCATCCAGCCAAATGAAGATTAGAAGCACAATTCAAAGCCGGCTCTCCAAGTGAAGTAAACCTACACAAAAAAAAAAGAATACTTAAAAACATCCAACTTTATATAACAGTCATATGTTAAACAAGTTCGCCCTAACCCGGGCGTTGCTCCACGCCTACGATCGTCATGATCATCATCATCATCATCATCATCACCACATCATCATCACATCATCATCATCACATCATGATCATCATCACATTAAAATTCAATAAAATTCACCACCCCCTCTGAACAATATTTTTGAATGGGTTAATAACATCCACTTTATCTTCACAAGGGGTCAAAACTTGCCACCCTCTATGAACAAATGTTGGGGTAATAACATCAACTTTATCTTCATAACCACCTGAAGTCAGACGCAGCGCAACATCAGGGCTGCATCTTTACCATCCCCTGTCGCAGCCACCAAGGCACGTGCTCCAGCCGCGCCAAGTCCTCGTAGAGCGCCTCGTGTTTGGCCTCCGCCAGCACGGCGTTGCCGCGCACCAAGCCGTAGCGGTCCAAGGTCTCCTGGTGAATCCCTGGTGAAAGCTGAGATTCGTGTCAGATGTCAGCGTAGCTAGAACAATAACAACCATAATAGTATGGTATAAGACGATAGGAGCAACTGAAGAATAATAAAATAACAATATATATATATTATATATATAACATGTTTATATAAGATATTTTGAGAACAATGATGATGGAGTGGATGAGGAGCACGGTGCCAAAAAAAATCAAAGCAGCCACTCTGGCAGAGTGGCCCCATTGGTGAAATCATCCACTTGGCAGCCAAGACCCTGGCAGCCTGTAGATTGCCCATATCAAAATAGCTAAATTCCACCGGGTAATCATCATTTTCCCTACCAAAGTTGCATCTTGGTATAATTACCTAAATTAAGGCGCGCCTTTCGCACACACACACACCCATTTGTGGAATCAACCATGTATCTGAATAAATCGTGACAAGCCAAAATAGCTGATGAAATCATTTTGGGATAGTCTTCCTCGGCAAAACCCATCATTTCTAATTAGTGATGTTGCCGTGGCATTGTTATCGTTTATCCAGATGTGTAGAAGAACTGATCAATGCAAGGTCAAATGAAATGGAACCATCACCAGGAATTCAATTGACCCAATGGTTCCGAAATCCTGTACAGATCGTAGAGATACTGTGCGGAGCATCATTAGCATTCATTGGAAGGGTTTCTTGCCACCATACATTCCAAGAAAGGGTCATCCTGCCTTCACTGGGGATTCCTGCAGAGATGACTTGATGGATATCAAAGAGAAATGACCAAACTGTACAATCGCGAGGTGTTTTGCAAAGTTTGACCTGTGCTTGCCGTTGAATGAGCTTGGAAGCCAAGTTCAGAGTCAAAAGGACTGTATAACTCAAGTTGCCATGAGCCACATCGAATTCGAGGAAAGAGACTGTAAAGTTGTAAAGTGCCGCAGAACGAATCCTCCAAAGTCAACCCGACACCATCCTACACCCCGAAAACGCTGAAGAGTTCCTATGCCAGGCCTGCGAGACTTCAGCGGAGATATCCAGCAACGGATTCCCAATGCCCAAAATCACCGCAGAATCGCTTCGCTCCTCTCCAAGCAGAATCAGTGAAGTCATGGTCAGCTTGTGCCGCCATCAGATCTGGACCTTTGCAAATCTCCCAAGTCCTGCTGAATTCTATCCGTTTCCTCCTGGAGCGGGTTCCATTTGCACGACATGGTGAGGTTGGAGTTGAAATTATGATAAGGAAAAAACATGAAAAAACAAAGAAAATGAAGTCACAGCTTCATTGCGGATCCCAAATTACAATCCCTGCACATGGGCCCCTCTCAAGAATGCAAATCATTCCGAGAGGGTTTCTGGCAGAATGTCTACGTCTACATCATGAGGATAGACAACCCCATATCCAGATCATTTGGCAATTAATTATAGATGCAGCTTATTGCAGATATAGATGTATCTCATATCCATCGAATCTATCCATATGATTGTGTAATTTAGACACACAGAGCGAGAGAGAGAGAGAGAGAAAGAACAAAATCAAAAAAGTAACTAGTACGTAGACAGGACTTGATACCGAATCATATAACTATACATCTAATCACATATATATATAATTACATATATGTCATATGTTTTTCATATGTCTTTCATATGTCTCTCATATGTCTCTCATATGTCTTTCATATGTCTTTCATATGTCTTTCATATGTCTCTCATATGTGTCTCATATGTCTCTCATATGTCTTTCATATGTCTTTCATATGTCTTTCATATGTCTTTCATATATCATATGTCTCTCATATGTCTCTCATATGTCTCTCATATGTCTTTCATATGTCTTTCATATGTCTTTCATATGTCTTTCATATGTCTTTCATATGTCTTTCATATGTCTTTCATATGTCTTTCATATGTCTTTCATATGTCTTTCATATGTCTTTCATATGTCTTTCATATGTCTTTCATATGTTTTTCATATGTCTTTCATATGTCTTTCATATGTCTTTCATATGTCTTTCATATGTCTTTCATATGTCTTTCATATCACATCCATTTCTCCCAATCCCCAACCATGCCACCACCCGCCTCCGCCGCAGCCGCATCGTCCTCAAAGCGCGTCACCGCCGCGAGCGCCTCGCAGATCTCGGTGTGGCTCCTCGGATGCGGGTGCTTCCAAGGGAGGCAGCCCACCTGCCCACCTCCAATGGTTGGAAATGGTGGATTTATGTGGGCAAATGATGCAACTGGCTGTGAAAAAGGTTGGGAAAATGGTGGAAGATCATGGGTAATGGTTGAGTCGGTTGAGTATTGGGTGGTCGATGCTGGTTGTGGATGATGAAGCGGTTTTTTCGTCACGTTCCATCCAACCAGGGGAGGATTGCTAGATCTATCCTTTTGCAAGTGACCAACATGAGGAATATGTGGATGATGGGAATATGCACAACATGCCTTCCAAGGATCTTGCTGAACGCCTCATCAAATGGCCTGACTCGCCCGAACAGCAGTGATCACTAGGACTTCTTGACCCACAAAGGCCGGCAAGAAATCCTTTCTTATCAGATGTTTTTTTAGCCGTAAAAAAACATCTTGTGGCTCTTGCAACCACCAAACTGCACGATGCAACTTCCATGTAATCGCCTCATTACGACCCAGCTTTTGTGGCCCCCTGGGCACCCTTCATTGCACCTTTTCTTGAAGTCATTGTAGACGTTGGGGTTCGCACGTGTCGCAACCAATGCCTTCACCACTTCTAAATGACCGTTCAGGCAAGCCTGAGTTGGTTCAGCAAGTGGTCAAGCAAGTATGCAAGCAACGAGATTGAATATCCTTTGATCAGAGTCCCTTTCGTTTTGTTGTGGAGACGCAGGAACGTGAACAGTCAACAGAGTGTATCTATATAATTACATATGTGTGGCTCATGAACAGCTGCAACCCTGCACACACATGATGAAACATGCACCCCCAGAGCCTTACAACTGCTGCCAGGTTTCCCAGTGCAAGGGGCAGTTGCCAGCATCATTCACCAGATCTGGGGATGCTCTCGCATCCAGCAACCGGCCTGGGCGATGCATTAAAAAAAGGAAAAACAATGTCAAAACATCTTCCTATGACCCTATATTATATAAGGGGCATAACTCGCCTCGAAGCATCATTTGCCAGAGACATCTCCAGCCCCAAATCAAGCAGGAGCAGCGGACAACCGGCTTAGAGCGGGCCAAGGAACGCACGATTTCCAGATGCCCGTTGGCGCTGGCCATTAGTAGTGCGGTGGACCCTCCATGGCTCTTGGCATTCACCTGAAATCCATCAACGTCAACGTTGGCGGCTGGATTCTGTTTCAGCCCATTCCCGTGAAATACAAGTCGCTTGGGTAACCCTATATGTATAGAAATATATGTAGCTAGATAGGTATGCAAACACAATTTCAAATACGTATCATCCACATAAATGGGTGAGAACGAAGGTCTCTAAATTCACCCAGCAGTGACACTGCAATATGTCCGTGCGCCTCCACGCCAGCGGCCAAAGCTGCCTCTACTGCCTCTGCATCGCCATAGCGAGCATCCAGGACAAACTCAGAAACCTGCGCAGGACGTGTGGATCAATCACCGCCTTATGATTACCCAGTGAACATCAAAATCTCCAGCTCAGCACATGGATGTTCATCCCCCTAAACATGGCAATTAAATTATCATTCCGACGCAGCAGCATGGCATATACTGCGATGCTTGGATACAAGCTGGTAATCTGCCACTGCTTCGCCCCAGAGTGAACAAAGCACCAAATTATATAACATTAAATAACCTGTGGCCAAATGGTTTACATGTGCTCAAGACTTTCGAACACATAGCCGCCATAGCCCAAAATGCAGCCCACTGATGGCTGGAGCCAATGCAAGCAATGCAAGCAGTAGATTTTTCATGCCACTTCCCAAATATTCCGAAATGAGAGGAACCTGCTGCAGAACCCTCAAAATCCCGATGTTTTCCTTGCCTTCCCCTACTAAAACCATCTACAGAACCCTCTTTGCTGGATCCTTGGAGGTCGAGGTCGCCAAAAATGTTCGAAACCCAACAGCCTCCTCAGGTGGCTCGGCCATGGTGAAGATCTTGGGCCCCAAGACAGCTACGGGGCCATGCCACAGGATGACATCAACTGTGTCCTGGATGTTTTTTTTAGTTTTATTGCTAAAAATGTTGCGCCCTCCCCCCCAAAAAAAGCTTGGTCACGTCGCATCCAGTAGGAAAACGATGAGTCGAACAGTCGAAACTCTTTGGGTTTGGCAAGTCTTCGTAGTTTTCGTAGTTAGCTCTTGGCAGGATCTCCATTTCGCACGCCGCCACGGGACATGCCTCAGCGCCAAGTTTCGGCTGCCGAGGACATCACAACTTCGACTTGGATTCCTTGGTGCGATCTGAATTCATTGGAGAACCCCAAGGGCATTGGGGGAATATACCAGGATGGGATGATTGGGATGCAGTTTTGGTTGAACTGATGGTCACTGCACTCCAAGAAATCCATGAGTTTTCTTCGATTTCTGTCGAATGGGAGCCCTATGGCATTGTAAATGATACTCAATACACTGGGTTGGGGAACATGGTGGCACTGCAGCTAGGGATCATGAATACAAACCTAGTGGACTTCGAGCGCTAAACAGCTGACGTAATGATAAGCATGATTTTCTCCTGCTTGCGATGTTGTATCCAAAGCCGACACCTCCCGCAGTAGGTCCCTGCCGAGCAACAAATCCCGGGAAAATGCGGCAGAATTCCTGCAGCTTCCTTCGCTCTGTGGCCATATCGCTCAACTTGGAGCTTGAATCCGGGTATCCCAAAGCCACGCCACACCTCGGCGGAAGGACTTCACTTTGGACTTCACCCATGGGAACTTGAAAATCTTGAAATGAAGCTTTGATGTATTTTGATGTGCTTGGTGTTACTGTGTTACTCTTTGATGCGCTGTTACTCTTGGTTATCTTGGTTATCTTGGTTGCCAAGCAGCTTGAAGCATGCCCATCACTAGTTCCCCGGACAGCCACGCACCCTTCCACAACGCAATCCAAGATGCCAAATCACCTCCCTCTCCATCGGAATGTCCAAAGCTTCGTAAACCTTAGTCAAAACAGAGCAAATGCCGATACCTATGATCAGCGTCAAACAGAAAACCAAGTGCATTGAACCCAAGGTTCAGGGGACGGGCTGATGTTTGTCTCCGATGTTTCTGTCGTTGATGCATATTTCTGAATGGCGTGGAGTGGAGTTGTTAGAGTTCGCATTTTATGGCTCGAACATGCTCGAACCGTTGTTTGATGCAATCCACATCACCAGCCAATCCGTGGCAAGTTGCACAGTTCCCAAGGTTGCCCCAGGCTTCCAGCATCGCAGTGCCCAAACCATACTGCACAGCCAGCAGTGATAGGCTTTGCAGCATCATCCCCACGTGACCCCAGGCGTTTTTATCGCCTCCACCTAGCTGCATGGCTTGGTCCAAGATGTCGAAAGTTGGGGAACGCAGAACAGAAAGGAAATAAGAAGAAGAATGAAAGACCATCTCGCATAGACCATGAAAAAATACAAATGGATACTGTATGACTATGATGATACCTGATTCATTTGATGGCGTAGTGATGCGTACTGCATGCAGCCGAACATGTTTCAAATCGTCCAAACTGCGGAGGAACGTACCCACTGATCACATATTACACCAAATATACCCAAATTATGGCCAGACACGATCGACTGTAACGATGATGCCCACAGGTGCACCCCAGAATCGGAAGTTCTCCATGAGCGCTTTGGCTCGTTCTGCCTTATCTTCGCGCTTGACACCCATCAGTTGCCACATGTCTTGGGCGACTTTGATTCTTCGACTCATATATGCCTGGCAAAGCGTGCACCAGACGGGATTGCAGTTGAAAGGTTCATGTGCAATTGATCATACACCTTTTCCAAAAACAGGAAACACTTGGGTGGATTTCACAGTTGAGCCTGGTGCAAGTCCGCTGGCAGATCCTCCTTCTTGGGATAAACCTTGTACTCCAAGGGCCCACTGCCGCGGGAGCCACTCAAGTGCTTCAGGGCAGCTTCCGTCAAGGCGTTCAGGCTGGCACCCGTCACCACCTCAAGGGGCTGTGCTCCTCTACACCAACTGAGACAAAACCATCTGACCACTTCCCTGGCCGTTCAAAAATCGTAGGAACCAACTTCTTTGATTTGACTGCGCCCTCCACACGGACCTTCGGCGACGCCACCCCACCAACTTCTTTGATTGTTCATCCCCAATTTTTGCTGGCAGCCATCCTCAATATTCAATTTGCTCAAGTAATTTCTTACCAATCAACATGTCCACTGTGTCCACCCCAAGCCATGGATGAGCCCAGCACATAGAGGTGCCACGGCTGCGTGTTGCCCCCGGAGGGTGCCAGGTTGGCGGTGGCCAAAATTTCTTGGAGCAGCTCCAGGGGCACTGGGTCCGTCAGAAAGGCCCGGCAGGTGTGGCGCAGCTGTAGGGCCTGGCTATGTGGTAAAACATGGTAAAACCCTTTCTTAACCATCCAAATGGGGAATGCACTTTATGGAAAGCCACTTCAAACTGATAAAATTATGGTGGTTGTTTGCTATCTGATGTGCTCGTGGTACATGATATATGTCACTGTAGGTGCATGACTTATCCATGTTCTAGTGGCCTACGCATTGAATTGTTTGCATCTATGGTAGATCGAATTGCGTTTCCCCTTTGGCCTGCGCAACGTCCATGGCATCGACAAGCGCCGTGAGATCAGCTTCCAACACTGTGTGCTATGTTTGGGGTAGTCCACCTTCCAGGTCTGTCAGCCAAGTGGGTAATCTCCAAATCTCCGAAGTCTGGGAATCCACTAGTTTTGAGGGCCTGCAAGGTTTGAGCTGCTTGTCTTGCCAAGGTTTGAAGCTCAAGTTGCCACAATGCCAGGCCAGCCAAAGGTTGCACATGCATTACAAAAATAGATCCCAGAACATTGAAGGGGTCATAAAGTCCCAGCTTCCGAGGGAGTTGCCAGCCACCAGCACTCAGATCCACCCCACAGCAATGGAAGTTTTCCCCTCCGAATCTCCTACATGGTCGTCCTAATCAACAGCAAGACCAAAAAGGTCAAAAGGTTCCTAGAATCTAAAACCCCCTTCTCCCCAGGTTTCCTTTCCATCCAATATTTGGGACATGGAAATCCAATGGGACATGATGAAACCAAAGAGTTGCCGCAAAAGGGCGCAGATTTTTCCGCACGAGTACCAGGCCAACGTCGAACCGTTCTTTGGGTCCTGTTTCATCAGCCTTCACTCCGTCGCTCAAATGGGCGAGCCCAACTGGCCGCCTATCCCACAGGACGTGGTCCTTGGTGGCTGCCACTTCCAAAACCCCGAGGAGTTTAATCTGTGCATGTGGACATAGATGCGCGCAAAAACTTGATGTATGGATACTGATGTATCATGATGCATTTCTGTTTTCATCTATATATGTATCAATTCGTGCATTTATCTATGTGTTCCACTATCTTTGCGCCTGCCTTATTCTGATGCCTGGCTGATCTTCTCCTGTGTTGCATCATGTATCATTATCTTATCTCAGCATATTCATCACTTGGCTTTTCGATGCACAGCCCATGCTTACAGGATTGGGACCAGCAGCGGAACGCCATAGCGCAGCACCGTAGGAATCCACCCATGCCTCCGCGAAGGGAATATCCAGGAGACGGGTCACTCATGAGGTGTGCACAGATTCCACATTGATGTGAGAGTGTCTAAAAAATTGATATAAGTACCGGTAGACCGTATGTACCCTCTGGTTATCAAACGTGGCAATTGGAAATCCGGTATAAATGGAGGTGTTTATTGGAAAAACATCTATAGACGACAGACGACGGATTTTCTATTTTCCGTGTTTGATTACTGGAGGGTACACCTATGAAATGGCCATGTTAATCGGAAATGCGATGATAAACCCATGTCTTCCGTACCTCCCAGAAACAGCAAACAGTGAAAAGCTTTGTCCGGCCGATGGTATATTAAAGTGGACATGGTTCAGACTCTTGGCAGGGAGTTGGTGTAAATGGATGTCGGCGTGCAATCCCTTCCTACAACGACAGTCAACCAGCGTGACAGCCACATATTTACTGGCAATCTGCCAGAAATAAACGACAATGGCAGTGTGGGCTAGGGCCAAGTGGCCGGCTGAGGACATCGACGGCAATCAAAGAAAGTGGTCAAGAACGCGTATAGTCAGAACAAAGCGGTACATGGGGTTCAGGTATCCTTTTCCATCTTTTCCTGCCATCTACAAGACTCAAGTCATATCTCTCCAAATATCTCCAAATGATCCCTCCATGCTGTCCCATGCTGTCCAAGAATCCCACACACCTCTTGAAGCACACCGCCAGTCGCGAGGGTCTTGGACTGCAAACATGCATCTCTCACGGCCACCCAAGACTGGCAATCCTCAGTCTCGGATGCAGCAAGAATGGCAAGCCAAGGACCCATAGGCTTTTGGTAACACAAGCCTCAACTGCCTCAACCCAACAGACTCCCAGCTATTGCATGTGCTAAGCCGTGCAACTCCACCAAAACGCAGCTATTTCCCGTCAAAATCCAAGACATGCGTTCCCTTCACAAAGGGGGTCCACAACATCTCAAATCTATTCCCATGTTGGAGTGCCAACTCCTCCACAACTCCAACCAAGCATACCATCCAACAATGATATCTCGTAATTGCTACTCCCTAGTTGTACAACACATCACATGGCGATCAGATATGGAAATCTCCACGGTATCCGCAGGTCTCACCAGGCAATGGATCATCCGGTTCACTAATGATGATCCTATCCAAAAAGGGGATGTTGCATTGCCATCTTAATGAGAAATAATGCAGATTTCGTTGCAGAAATAACCCGTACAATTACGCGTCCTTTGGCGGGGGCTTTGAAGGCCAGATTTGGATCAAAGTTTGGTGATGTTTGAATCTGGGCACTGTATCCTCCGCATCCTCGTGAATTCAACATTTTATCTTTTTGGATCTCCAATTGTGTCCTGGTCAAATCCCTGGCTCTGCTTTCAATCACTTAAAAGTTCCCCGACTTTATCTACCCAAATCACATCCCCCGCGTCACTCGAATTGTTTCGGGATTAAAAAAATGAAATCCCGACTTTTTGCCCAAAAATATTGAAAAATCCAAGTTCTTTTTCCCAGTACCCTCTGGTAATTTGACATAGCTATGGAAGATGGCCCGTTGACATTGATTCGTCGATGATTTACCTGTTAAAAATGATGAGTTTCCACAGCGAAGTATGAAATTATCAGAGGATATGACCATTTGGTCCCTGCTTTAGGTGGTTGAATCACCATTAACATCGATTGATATCCATTTAGAAGGTTAAGTTACCAAAAGTAAAGCCACTTAAACCATTTATGGATGATGTTCCACTCAACTCAACATTTAGTTCGGGATTTTCCATCCTTTCTACTGCCATGTGAAATTACCAAAAGTTAAAATCATGCACCCCAGGGCCCCAAGCATAAACAAACATAATGTGGAAAAGCCTTTAGTTTCCCTAAGGAAAATGATCTACGAATAGTGGTCTTTTCCCACATCTATGTTCGTTTACCCTATTCTACATGGATATATAACATTATCTGACTATTATATGACCATAGTTACAGCCCCATATCCCAAATGTTGGGGGGTTCGTACCGGCTTCATACCACCTGAAACGTGCCCAGCTGCATCCTCCACCTTGCAGCCCTGCACTACCGGCGCCACCGCGTGGAGCGCCTCGACGCTACAGCGGTCCGCCACCAGCACGGCATCGCCCAGGCCGCCACCGATGGCGCCGCACCTGTCGATGGAAAGATGGAAAATCAATGGATTTATAGTGGATTTATGGGGATTATGATGGATTTGTGATGGATTTATGGCAATTTATGGGTTCCGACAGAATCCGACAGGTCGCCTGTCTCCGTTTTGTTCCATAATTCTTGGAGGGGCCCAGGATTTTCCATAATTGTTTTTTCCTGCGCAATCAGGGGGTTGGAGCAAATTAACCAAGTTTTTTCCATAATTATGTGTTTCTATAATTAATCTTTGGGGGTCCACCTGTTGGAAAGAGGCTGAAATAGGTTGGATAATAGCTTCAAACCAATGGCAAAAGGCTGAAATAGGTTGGAAATTGCTGGGGTATACCGTATATGTGATTCTTCGACACATTCATATTTTACATGAATTAATATTCCCCCTTAAAATGCACTCAAACTGCGAATCAGTGGTCATGTTCCAGCCGACCGAACTATGGGAAAAAAATGATCATGGAAAAAAATGCGAAAAAATGGTCTAGAATTGTCCCGTGATAGAGAGGAGGTCACCTGTCAATTGTTACATTTTTTTTGCATAATTTCGTCTGATGCTGCAATATTCTGCAATGGGATTTCCTAGGAAAAAACCCTGGAAACATGGATTTAATGGACTTTATACTATAATGGGGTTTAATGGTGGTTTAACCAATGGCATTTGTAATAACTTAAATTATAACCAAGAATGATACAATATATATATATATATGTATATTTATATATATATATATATTATTTATTTATTTACATTTACATTTATATTTGCATTTCTATTTATTGATCTATTTATTGCTATGATCATACTATATAATAACTACATATAATATATATATATCCTAATCATTCAGGGTTACATATCCAGTGATATGTTCGCTATACCTGGACCTATGCTACTTGACATTTCGGCTAGACCCCTTTTTGGGGGTTCATGAAATGATAGTTTTTCAGGGCTGTTGCCAAATGAGAGTAATGGGAGGTAGTCAAACGAAAAGCCGTTACAGCAACCAAAAAGTTATTGATGAACTGTCTTCGGGTACCAGTAGATTTATGTGCAACGACACAATGAAGGACAACCAGCCAAATATGGTGGGGGGTATGATTGGAACAACAAGCTTCAAACCTGCATGTGTTGAGCCAGAATTCTCTTGAACCCAGCATCTTCCCTACGAGGAAATTAAAATCCCATCCCTGTGAAAATTGGGCAAACTGACCAGACACTAGCGTAGCCCTAGATGATTCAGATGTGAACTGGTAGGTTTAAATGGTCTACATGATACGCATGACATCATCACCCCTAGGTAGGCCGTTGAGAGAATGGTTGTGAACTGCCATGTGAAAGTTCCCAATTTTTTTCTCCTTGCACTGAGGTTGGCACATGGATGGCACTGACACGTTCACAGGACCCTTGGCTTCTTCCAGTCCTGAGAGTTGCAAATAGCCGATTTGGCAGTTTGAAGAGTGAAAATCATCCCACAGGGTACCCAGCACCAGACCCTCACAGCACAAGCCAGGTCACGCCCATGAAGCAAACGCCCCATGCTCTGGGAGTAGGTCACATCAGGCCGAATCCTGAGGTTTCAACGAGTCAAACGAAGATGGGCTGAACCCCAAAACAGGGCCCTGGCCTCACCACCAGGGCAAAGCGCGTGCCCATCTTCTCTTCAGCTTGACGCATGAGGTGCAAAGCTGCGGAGATCTTGACGTACTGCAGAGGCAAGGCACGCACACGCTCACCTGGGCACATGGCACACAGGTCAGGCAGCACAGCCAGGAAGAATGACTGGGACAAGGAGGCTTTAAACAGCAGCTGGATAATATGGTAATAGTGATCGCTATCCACTATAGTGAAATAATCCACTAGAGTATGCATCACCTCTGGCGAATATGTTTTGCAGTCTATCTCTATCTGCCGCATGGGCGCCGCCCAGGCGCCTACATAGTGTCTCCAGGTGCAGTTCTCCAGCATCTGAGCCTTGGCTCGCTGCTTGTGATCCTCATTCCACTCCAACAAGGTGAAGTTGCCTGAGGCTGGGAATGGCGATCCCAGTGTCTGAAATTGGGGGCCATGTTTCTTACGAATTTCATGGGGACAAATAAAGACAATCCATTGGAATTGACATTTTTATGGGATACAAGTAAAAAGCTGGTGAGTCCCACTGTCCCACTGGGCAAACATCACCACCTCCATTGCCATAGCGTTCGAGCACTCTCCGCACGTCGTTGTCGTTGAAGTTGCGACTCTCATTCTTCGGACCCCGCCAACTGAAGCCGTTCCTACCATGGCCACAAGAGGCTGTCTCCCTACTGGAACGGTTTCTGTGGACACCTTCGTCTTGAAGGCTTCATTGCTGAACCTCTACCAGTCCCAAGTGAGGTTACGATATATGTACTTATATATGCCTGCATAAATATATATATACATATATGTGAATATATATATATACATAGATAGATATACAAACTGGTATACATACATATATGTATGCGTATATAATATATGTGTGCGCATGTGTTTATTATATATAAATAATATCTCTATCTATTTATTATCTATCTATCTATCTATCTGTCTATCTAATCCAATCCAATCCAATCCAATTCTATCCTATCCTATCTAATCTATCTATCTCTCCCTCTCTCTCCCTCCATCTATGGCCGTCCCCAGGAGTCTAGCCAAAGGCTAAAGGCGAGCTAAGCCCAGTGACTAGAAGGAACAGTTCATGTATATATATAAATATATATATATACATATATATATATAATACATATATATATATACATATAATTACATATATAAATATATATATATATATTTGTATACGCATATGTCCTGAAAAGATTATCCACCAATTGTATAGATGCGGGTTGTTAACCCCATGAAAACTGGCAGAGGTCCATCATGTTGCTGAACCTTGCCCCGTATGAGGGCCTGGTGTACTCCAAGACAGCAAAGATGTGGTACCGGATGTTGGCATCTATCAACTCCTGCACATGGCCCGTGTGATTGGCCTCCAACTGAAGCCCCCAACATTGGATGAATCGAAGGGTAGAATGATGAGCTCAGCCAGTTAAAATCAGCTATTATAGCCAAATATGTTCACAACCTCATATGACTCATAGCTATCCAATGACTACCCAATAACTATCCATGGTAATCAGCTGCGTAACTGCTCCTGGAAGAGGTTCTTGTGGATGTTCTCTACGATGTATGGCCGCGTCCCATCCCGGACCTGGCAGAATCCATTCCATTGGTAATGGAACTACACCAATTTTTAATGGGTCATTGTTAATCATGGTACAGTATTCACTGTTATAATTCATGGTAATGGTTAATGTTTAAATTGGACAATCATCTGCAAATTTCTGAACCTCGGTTGCAGGTGGTCATGATCACTAAGTCAGTATGTGACAGTGTGTGCTTGATGCTCATGGGGAAAGAAGAACATCTGGGTGATATGGGTCTTGGCCAGCCTTTGATACCACAAAATGGTATGGTTCAATGCGAGAAATGACCAAAGATGTGGGTTGGTCTTGAATTTAGATTCCTACCCACAAATCACAAACCGTGATAAACTAGCCATCTTGAACTCCTGCCACAGGCTATATTAGTTAATGTAGTTTGAATAAAGTTATAATGACGTTAGAATAAAACTATAATAAAGTTCTCGCAAAGTGGGAATAGAGCTACAATATATTTTACAATATATCATAACTCCTAGTGCCTCCCATGTCCCTCACACCATCAGCTGTCTCCCTGAAGCCATCGCCTGACCAGCGATCAGAACCGCTATGCCGGTCCAGCGCTGCCCAGCTGTGAAGGCTTCCTGCCTCTCTTCGTAAAGCCTGTGGAAATTGGGCGATGTCTTCGGCCCGACTTGGAGGCTCACCCCACGGATCATAAGTGGTTAGTAACCAATAGTCATAGTTTTCATATATAGTTATAACTGCCATAATACTGCTATTAGACTAGTTATAACCCATTTATAGATGGCATAACTGGTCAATAATCCACTTCTGGTACTTACTAATCAGGCTCACCGGTAGCCGTGGGATGACTCCCACCCAGGTCATCCCACCAGCATGGGATTCCCCAATTGGCGGGTGGAGGATGATCCAAAATTGAAAACACACAGCATGTTTTGATCATTTCAATTCATTTCACATGTTATTACTGTTATTGGATTTAAAACCGATGGAATCTGCTGGTTGTCACATCAAAACAAAAGGAAGTGCAACCTTTGTTGTTCAGAACTTCCTCTTTGCACAGGTTTCATCTTCATGTCATGAGACACTCAGCTGAAATGATGCATCCCATTCTGCAATCCCATGCCCGCACCTGCGAACCGGTGGTGCCAAATGTTGCCACCACTTGTGCACATTGAAAGGCAAACGCGCATTGCGCAGAAACTCCGACCTGAAATGCTGCTCAACGAGATGTGGTTTCATAGCAGCTGGATGGTTAGTTCAAAGCACTTGGTTCTTGGACGGTGAATTGCACTGCAACACGGTTCCCACCTCATCTGGGCAGTGGCTAGCAGGCGGTCAACAGCGGTTTTGCAGCAAGCCTCAGAATCAGATTCTGAGGCAGTTCACGCCAAGAGATCAAAACTCAACCTGCCCCTGCCATGACTTCTGGATTCACATGTTTGAGCCATACGGTTGGAAAGGCCCTCCCATATCTCCAAAAGAGAAACCTATTCAGATTACCCTGCAGTTAATCAACACAAATATGGGAAATCTTTGATTTATACTTGAGTTCCTGAGGAAACTATGATAGTTTTTCATACCTACATCTACATCTATATCTAAATCTCTATATCTATATCTATATATCTAAATACTAAATCTCTATCTCTATCTATGTCTATCTATCTACCTATATATATATATATATATATCCGTGTGTGTATCTCACTCTCTCTCTCTCTCTCTGCGTTAGTTTACCTCTCTTCCCCAGTGTTTCAGTCGTGTTTCAACCAGCGCGGCCTGTGTCAATGGGCTGGTGGTTAGGACCGCTGTGGCGCAGTTGCCAGGGATCTCCACTAAGTCCACCATGACCTCGGGCCCCCGTCGGGTATCAGGGTTCCCCCTGAGAGCTTACCCTCCAGAGATAGAAGTGATGTGGAAAATCCACCAGTTGTAGAACATGTTCCGAAACCATGGCTTTTCCACATCTATCTTAGTTTTCACCAGGGTAATTGACCTATGGATGTGCAGCAAATGCTATGCCAACAGACACCACAAATATCCACAAATCGCAGAGGAGCTTGCACACGTGGTGAATTGGGCCAATCAGGAACGCAGTCGCTGCATTTTGTTTCTCCACAGCCACTACTGACTCCATACACTTGCCAACTGTGCAACCATCTCTACTTCCAAAATGGGCTAACCTCCATGGACACATGGGAATCTACATAGGTAGGGCGCGCATTGGCACAACACTTATTATCAACATCTCCCCTCTCTTTCCCGGCAGACATGATCCAAGTCACGTGGGGAACCGGCGGCGTCAGGTTGCCAGGCACTGCCAGGATGTGAGTTGCTTCCTGCAACACAAGCACGACAAAACCTGGGTTTTCCTCAAAGCCCAACAGAAAAAACACAAAACACGGCTCCTCACCTGATTTGCTGCGGCTACTGGCGGGTCTGCCACCACAGGAGGTAAAGTCGGAGACATGTCCTGGCTCCCGAACAAAGCAGCCACAAAGAGCTTTAAGCCAAAATCATTTGGTATCTGCAAAAATATCAAAAAATATTGTCTGCGCCTTGTCTCTGCGATTCTGAGACAATGAGTTTCAAACCATACGGGTATATCTCCCTTTCACCCTGAACTCTGTGCACAAAGTTCTGCTGCCAAAGCAACTGTTCACAAACCTAATCATACATAATCATACCAATTCCTTGCAAAAGAAATGCCTTCCTCCCCGTCACCAGTTCCCTCCTCCGTTACTGCCAAGGAAGTAGAAACACTCTCGGCATTGACGGCGGCAGTTGAAGGATTGAGAGCTGTTTCCTGCAAACCCAAGCAAAGAAAATAGACCAGTGTCCATCAAGCAGCTCCCAAAGGGTACCCGCATCACTTAGGGCAACATCCAGAAATCACACACTCCTCACACTTTGGACGGTCACTTTGGGCAACACAGAAAACATCGTTCTTATTAACCAATTACTAGACTGAGCCATTTAGGGTTTGGTTGGGGGGTGGGGAGGGATCATTCTACTTACATCACTACTTGACTCAGCCATTTAGGGTTTGGCTGGGGGGTGGGGAGGGATCATACTTGACTCAGCCATTTAGGGTTTGGTTGGGGGGGTGGGGAGAGATCATTCTACTTACATCATTACTTGACTCAGCCATTTAGGGTTTGGTTGGGGGGGTGGAGAGGGATCATTCTACTTACATCATTACTTGACTCAGCCATTTAGGGTTTGGTTGGGGGGGTGGGGAGGGATAATTCTACTTACATCATTACTTGACTCAGCCATAGGGTTTGGTTGGGGGGGTGGGGAGGGATCATTCTACTTACATCATTACTTGATTCAGCCATGTCAGGATTCGTTGGGGGGATGGATCATTCTTCTTATGGAATGAATTGACGAAGCCATTTAGGGTTTGAATGGGGGGTGGGGAGGGTGTGTGAAAACATCCTTTTGCTCTTGGCACAAAGACATATATGCTACACTATGAGCCGATCTTCTCTTGCACCTGCGCACCAACATGATCTCACGCTATCACATCTTCTCTTGAAGCTATCATCATCATGATTCATGACAATGGTGAAGATGAAGATGAATAATACTCGGGAGAAGAAGATGCCTTTAACAAGGATGATGATGAAGAAGAAGATGATGATGATGAAGATGGTGATGATGATGATGATGGTGGTCACTTGATGGTCAACATGATGGTCAACATGATGGTCAACCCTTAGTGGACAACATGATGATGGGGTACCCGCCCTCCGACCCCTCATGATTGTCAACATGGTGATGATGATAATGATGGAAAATGTCTACTGTTGACGACGACGACGACGACGACGACGACGACGAGGAGGAGGATGATGATGATGATGATGATGCTGGTGATGCTGGTGATGATGCTGGTGATGATGCTGGTGATGATGCTGATGATGATGATGATGGTGATGATGATGATGATGATGATGATGATGTTGGTGATGACGATGCTAATGATGATGGTGATGGTGATGGTGATGGTGATGATGATGATGATGATGATGACGGTCACTTGATGGTCAACATGATGGTCAACCCTTAGTGGACAACATGATGATGGGGTACCCGCCCTCCGACCTCTCATGCTGGTCAACATGGTGATGGTGATAATGATGATGGAAAATGTCTACTGTTGACGACGTTGACGTTGATGTTGATGTTGATGTTGATGATGTTGACGTTGACGATGATGATGATGATGATGATGATGATGATGAGGTATCCCGAAGCGATGCATGAGGCGTAGCCTGAAGCGATGCACTCGACGTTTCCCGAAGCAATGCCCTTTCCACACAAAGACCCAACGCATCAAAACACGGCCACAAGTCATTTGAACCTTTGGATTTCCCGATTTGCGTATGACAAGGGTCCTGATTCACTGCGGCTGCTGGCGGGTTTTCCACCAGAGGAGGTAAAGTCAGAAACATTTCCTGGCTTCCGGACAAAGCAGTCACAAAGAGCTTAAAGCCAAAATCATTTGGTATCTGCAAAAATATCAAAAAATATTGTCTGCGCCTTGTCTCTGCGATTCTGACTTTTGAGTTTCAAACCATACGGGTATCTCCCTTTCACCCTGAACTCTGTGCACAAAGTTCTGCTGCCAAAGCAACTGTTCACAAACCTAATCATACATAATCATACCAATTCCTTGCAAAAGAAATGCCTTCCTCCCCGTCACCAGTTCCCTCCTCCGTTACTGCCAAGGAAGTAGAAACACTCTCGGCATTGACGGCGGCAGTTGAAGGATTGAGAGCTGTTTCCTGCAAACCCAAGCAAAGAAAATAGACCAGTGTCCATCAAGCAGCTCCCAAAGGGTACCCGCATCACTTAGGGCAACATCCAGAAATCACACACTCCTCACACTTTGGACGGTCACTTTGGGCAACACAGAAAACATCGTTCTTATTAACCAATTACTAGACTGAGCCATTTAGGGTTTGGTTGGGGGGTGGGGAGGGATCATTCTACTTACATCACTACTTGACTCAGCCATTTAGGGTTTGGCTGGGGGGTGGGGAGGGATCATACTTGACTCAGCCATTTAGGGTTTGGTTGGGGGGGTGGGGAGAGATCATTCTACTTACATCATTACTTGACTCAGCCATTTAGGGTTTGGTTGGGGGGGTGGAGAGGGATCATTCTACTTACATCATTACTTGACTCAGCCATTTAGGGTTTGGTTGGGGGGGTGGGGAGGGATAATTCTACTTACATCATTACTTGACTCAGCCATAGGGTTTGGTTGGGGGGGTGGGGAGGGATCATTCTACTTACATCATTACTTGATTCAGCCATGTCAGGATTCGTTGGGGGGATGGATCATTCTTCTTATGGAATAAATTGACGAAGCCATTTAGGGTTTGAATGGGGGGTGGGGAGGGTGTGTGAAAACATCCTTTTGCTCTTGGCACAAAGACATATATGCTACACTATGAGCCGATCTTCTCTTGCACCTGCGCACCAACATGATCTCACGCTATCACATCTTCTCTTGAAGCTATCATCATCATGATTCATGATAATGGTGAAGATGAAGATGAATAATACTCGGGAGAAGAAGATGCCTTTAACAAGGATGATGATGAAGAAGAAGATGATGATGATGAAGATGGTGATGATGATGATGATGGTGGTCACTTGATGGTCAACATGATGGTCAACATGATGGTCAACCCTTAGTGGACAACATGATGATGGGGTACCCGCCCTCCGACCCCTCATGATTGTCAACATGGTGATGATGATAATGATGGAAAATGTCTACTGTTGACGACGACGACGACGACGACGACGACGACGAGGAGGAGGATGATGATGATGATGATGATGCTGGTGATGCTGGTGATGATGCTGGTGATGATGCTGGTGATGATGCTGATGATGATGATGATGGTGATGATGATGATGATGATGATGATGATGTTGGTGATGACGATGCTAATGATGATGGTGATGGTGATGGTGATGGTGATGATGATGATGATGATGATGACGGTCACTTGATGGTCAACATGATGGTCAACCCTTAGTGGACAACATGATGATGGGGTACCCGCCCTCCGACCTCTCATGCTGGTCAACATGGTGATGGTGATAATGATGATGGAAAATGTCTACTGTTGACGACGTTGACGTTGATGTTGATGTTGATGTTGATGATGTTGACGTTGACGATGATGATGATGATGATGATGATGATGATGAGGTATCCCGAAGCGATGCATGAGGCGTAGCCTGAAGCGATGCACTCGACGTTTCCCGAAGCAATGCCCTTTCCACACAAAGACCCAACGCATCAAAACACGGCCACAAGTCATTTGAACCTTTGGATTTCCCGATTTGCGTATGACAAGGGTCCTGATTCACTGCGGCTGCTGGCGGGTTTTCCACCAGAGGAGGTAAAGTCAGAAACATTTCCGGGCTTCCGGACAAAGCAGTCACAAAGAGCTTAAAGCCAAAATCATTTGGTATCTGCAAAAATATCAAAAAATATTGTCTGCGCCTTGTCTCTGCGATTCTGACTTTTGAGTTTCAAACCATACGGGTATCTCCCTTTCACCCTGAACTCTGTGCACAAAGTTCTGCTGCCAAAGCAACTGTTCACAAACCTAATCATACATAATCATACCAATTCCTTGCAAAAGAAATGCCTTCCTCCCCGTCGCCAGTTCCCTCCTCCGTTACTGCCAAGGAAGTAGAAACACTCTCATCATTGACGGCGGCAGTTGCAGGATTGAAAGCTGTTTCCTGCAAACCCAGGAAAAGAAAATGGACCAGTGACCAAGCAGCACACAAAGACCCAACGCATCAAAACACAGCCACAAGTCATTTGAACCTTTGGATTTCCCGATTTGCGTATGACAAGGGTCCTGATTCACTGCGGCTGCTGGCGGGTTTTCCACCAGAGGAGGTAAAGTCGGAGACATTTCCTGGCTTCCGGACAAAGCAGTCACAAAGAGCTTAAAGCCAAAATCATTTGGTATCTGCAAGAATATCAAAAAAATATTGTCTGCGCTTGTCTCTGAAATTCTGACTTTTGACTTTCAAACCATATCTCCCTTTCACAAATCAACTGTTCACAAACCCAAACATACATATATAATCATACCAATTCCTTGCAAAAGAAATTCTTCCTCCCCGTCACCAGTTCCCTCCTCCGTTGCTGCCAAGGAAGTAGAAACACTCTCATCATTGACGGCGGCAGTTGCAGGATTGAAAGCTGTTTCCTGCAAACCCAGGAAAAGAAAATGGACCAGTGACCAAGCAGCACACAAAGACCCAACGCATCAAAACACAGCCACAAGTCATTTGAACCTTTGGATTTCCCGATTTGCGTATGACAAGGGTCCTGATTCACTGCGGTTGCGGGCGGGTTTTCCACCAGAGGAGGTAAAGTCAGAAACATTTCCTGGCTTCCGAACAAAGCAGTCACAAAGAGCTCTAAGCCAAAATCATTTGGTATCTGCAAAAATATCAAAAAATATTGTCTGCGCCTTGTCTCTGCGATTCTGAGACAATGAGTTTCAAACCATACGGGTATATCTCCCTTTCACCCTGAACTCTGTGCACAAAGTTCTGCTGCCAAAGCAACTGTTCACAAACCTAATCAATCATAATCATACCAATTCCTTGCAAAAGAAATGCCTTCCTCCCCGTCACCAGTTCCCTCCTCCGTTACTGCCAAGGAAGTAGAAACACTCTCGGCATTGACGGCGGCAGTTGAAGGATTGAGAGCTGTTTCCTGCAAACCCAGGAAAAGAAAATGGACCAGTGACCAAGCAGCACACAAAGACCCAACGCATCAAAACACAGCCACAAGTCATTTGAACCTTTGGATTTCCCGATTTGCGTATGACAAGGGTCCTGATTCACTGCGGCTGCTGGCGGGTTTTCCACCAGAGGAGGTAAAGTCAGAAACATTTCCTGGCTTCCGAACAAAGCAGTCACAAAGAGCTTAAAGCCAAAATCATTTGGCATCTGCAAAAATATCAAAAAAATCTTGTCTGCGCTTGTCTCTGAAATTCTGACTTTTGACTTTCAAGCCATATCTCCCTTTCACAAATCAACTGTTCACAAACCTAATCATACATAATCATACCAATTCCTTGCAAGAGAAATTCCTTCCTCCCCGTCACCAGTTCCCTCCTCCGTTGCTGCCAAGGAAGTAGAAACACTCTCATCATTGACGGCGGCAGTTGCAGGATCGAAAGCTGTTTCCTGCAAACCCAGGAAAAGAAAATGAAGCAGCACACAAAGCCCCAATGCATCAATGGCAGAGGCAAAACCGCCTGAATCCTTATTCCACCAGGACTTGACTTTTTGGCTTCCTGCCTGATTGACTGCAGCTGCATGCGGTTGTTCCACATGTAGGGGAGCCAATGTTGGAACAGATATCTCCTCGCAGGCCAAGGTCGGCATCTGATCGTACACGGCAAGCCTATGGGGAGCGGGGTTCTCATCAAGCCTGGAGCCCATTGGATATTCACCGGTTCCCAGTGGTGAATTTCGATGGCCAGTTACAAATGGAACCCCCGGGACACTTGCTATCACCAGGGCCTTCCCTGGATGTTCATCGAATCTAGATACCCACTTTGGATCTTTGGATCTTTCCAACCTACCCATCGCTCTCCCCTCCCATGGTTGCTCCAAGTCCAAGGACGCTGCACGAGTGCCTTCCTTCGCCTGCTCATAGCAAATGCCGATGTTCCGGCTGGAAATTGCCATTGTGAAGCGTTTCAGTTGGGATGATGATATTTGTCAGAAAAATATTGATCATGACTGCGATACTTCATCTTGCCTCATCTTGCTGCCTTGAACTTTGAGTCTTCATTGCCTTACTGATGTCTATCCATGCTCAAGATCTCGGCCCTCAGTTCGAGTTCTTTTCTCAGCAAGTGGATCCTGTATGTTTAACATTGTTCAACCGAGTTTAACTCTCGTCATTTGTGTTTCCATCATGAGCCTATCAACCCGATGTCTGGTGAGGCAGCTCTTCACGCGGTGCATGTTCATTGGATATAAGGGGATCTGATGTGCTGTTTCACATGCAAAAACACTTGACCATATACAGTGTACCAAAAGAACGCTTCTTCCCAAAAGATACATGGTCGAGACTTCACTTGGGGGGTAGACATGGGTTCCATACATGGGGGATCCCCAAAATTGGAAAATCCGACTGAAATGGATGATTTAGGGGACCTGGGAAATCTATATCATGCCTAATCCAGATCACAAACCCACAGGCCTCGATCACATCACTCGAGAAATCCAACCTGTAGTGCAATGACCAAACTTGCCAGGGTTTGTCCAGAGAACGATGTGAGTCGATATGCCCCCAAAATTGCCACTTGAAGGTTTCCTAAGTCATGGGTCCCATGGGTGTACCCCTAAATCATCCATTTTCGTCCGGATTTCCGGTTTCCTTTAGAAATCATCCATTCTGGGGTTCATTTATGGAAACCCGCACTTCAATGGGAAACCATGATCTTCAAAGCGGTGGATTTGGGGAGTTTCCTCCGGCGCAGCAACCCGGGTTGCCTTTGTGGCAACAAGAACTCCAGGCACAGAAACCAAATGAAGACCCACCTTGGAGGCATTCAGATGCAGCTGGGATGCCAAAGAACTGGAATGACCATAGTGGCTCCTTTCAGCCTTTCAGAGATTTGGGGGATTCTTTAGTCATGGGGGATCCCCAAGTCACCTTAGGTTTCAACACTAAAACGGTCTAAGTTTGGACATCTCCATTTGTGCATGACGAGCGAATGCCTATTGATACAATGGCGAGTCCACTCTTTTTCTTCCTCTTTGCAGATTTCCTGTCATGTTCAGCTTGTTATTTAAATTCATCTGGGAAACCATGCCCATGTTTTTTGGCTAACATGTCCAAAGTTGCTGTATAATACTCCCACTGTTGCTGTCGTTCTGCTCAGTCTGACCCCGATCCCTTTCTCACGGAAAATCCTCATCGCAGCCATATTCCACCATCAACAACAAGAGCAACGGTAACATCTCCCGTCACCTTTGCCAAGTCATATTGAAGTGTATGCTCCCATCTTGTTTTGGGCATATTCCCATTGGATCCCATTGGTTACACCCGCAGCTTCACGGTATCGGCCGCGGAACACCAGGAAGCGCAGCCCGGCGGGACATCGGCGCCAACGGCGACAGAAGCGGATGCTCTGAAGCCTGGGAACCGGGCACCGGGGGAAGCCTGAAACGATGGATTTTCAAGGGACCCATGGTACGCAACGAGATACCATTTCTGGATCGTTTCAGGTCCTCATTTTAAACCCTCAAGTTGCTTTCTTCATGTACTGTCTGCGCGCATATTTAAGCGATTTTAAGTGCAGCTACTTATCTATCTGGGGCAGGAATGTCTATATATACTTATATATTTGTTCATGTGTCATGATATTTGCGCATTGCTTGAATTCGTCGCACACGTTCTCACACGTTCTGCAAGGAATGGAAAAAGGATGAAAAGGAAGCGGGACAAAGCCCTGGAGAAATCGAATATGCTGACAATCCTAAGAGGGGTATGTGTATATATATATATATGTGTGTGTGTGATATTAAACATACATACATATTTATATATATATACATACATATATAATCCACAAATATGACATACTGAAATGTACTTTTGAATCGAAGTACAATCACCATGTCTTTGCAATGGCTAGGGTGAGCTAAAAAATGCTGTGCAAAACTGTGATGGTTTTTATGTCGCTACAAGTAAGCCCCAGAATCCCTCCAAGCCACCTTGCTTGGCTGCACAGCCCAGTCACAAGCATGTGCCACCCAACATGCCGCGCACGCGCTGTTTGGCCATGTGCCGACGCCGCTTGCAGTTTTCCTTGCACCACTGAGATTGGCGCCAGAACAACACCCTGCAAATTTTGTATGCAGGAGGGGTCCGACTCATGGAGAATCTTGGGCATGGGTCCTTGTGCGCCTGATGCCCGGCATCGCTCTCTGCACATCTTTGGCAGAGGCGTTCCCCACATTTGTCCTCAGACGATGGGTGGCCATCGGTTGAGAAGGGCCCAACCAACGATGTGACATCAATCCAGCAGGAAAGGCTCATTCAAATCGACAATGGCTCAAAATACCTTACTCCGATTTTGGGTTGGTTGGATATCTTCGTAAATGATATAATATATCTATTTTGTCTAATCTACTCCTATCTATCTGTCTGCCTGCCTGCCTGTCTGCCTGCCTGTCTGTCTATCTATCTATCTGTCTATCTATCTATCTGTCTGTCTATCTATCTATCTTATCTTATCTTATCTTATCTATCTAATATCTTATCTATCTAATATCTTATCTATCTAATATCTTATCTATCTAATATCTAATCGATCTATTTATCTATTTATAATATCTAATCGAATCGAATCGAATCGAATCCAATCCAATCCAATCGAATCGAATCGAATCTATCTATCTCCCCAATCTTACCAAATGCGTGATGTGTCGTAGAAACCATCCCCTACTGCAGAATTTATGGATTGGATTCACGTCATGCCTCGAAATCACCCCATTTCACAGGCCCAATGGTAGCCCCCCGTCATTTCCAGCCCATCCCCAGCCACACGGTGGCCGGCCACGCCCAGCGACACAGGACTGGACCGCGGGGGCTCCGCAGTTGCAGTGCTCCATCGTCAAGTCATGGCATCAAATCCGCCACCGCTTCGGCCACCGGATGTTGAACCTCTATGGATCTGTTCTAAACATGGTGGTTTCACCAGCCGCAATGGGGATTGTGCCGTCAAATTGCCGGGAAATTGGGATTCCAAGTTCGTTCTCAGTATTTCTGATGTCGTTTCTTTTCTAACGATTATCACCATGGACGTGCAACTGCCTGAGCCAAAGTCAACAATATCCTCGAGGAAACGAACCGCAGGCGACGTAAGACCCTCTTTCAATCCCTAGGGATGCTGGTTGGGCGAATGCATTGTGCATCCTTGCCACCCAGTGATGGTGCAACTTGGAAACCCCTCCTTCGCAGAGGAAAAGTCACCGAAATCTGGACTCCTTGAAACATGCCACACCAAATGCCACGACCGAAGTATGCAAACCGATGGCCCACCAAACCCGCTTTCTCAACAGATCCCGCGTGGGTCATAGCTTTGATCCGTCTTAAATAGATCACGTTGATGCCGGAGGGCGATACCATCACAGCATCCCGGCAACCGCTTGGCGCTGGCGCTGAATTCCACCGGACTTTGTGGAATGATCTTGCTGAAACCCAGTCTGCCATTGCGGCTGTTGCATGATGTTGAATGTTCATAGTTACCCCAGAATTGGAACTTTGAGATCCTATCTTCAGAAAGCACAGACTACTCGTCTTTCAGCAGAGGACACGCTCTAAAAAGTTGACGAATCGTATGAAAAAGTTGCCAGAGACGATGCTCAGTACTCTTTTTCTTGTGCCTCCTTCTCGTCCTGCTGTTTCCTGAAGCTGTGGCACAGCCATGAAGGTGCTCCAGCCGAACTCAGAAATGACAAGCGACCAAAAAAAAAAAGCTCACTTTGCCTTCCACCTTTGAATATGTTGTTCACTCAAGCATGTTCACGTGTCTATTCGCTAGAGAAACCTGCCCAAATGGATAGTATCAGCCAACCTCCACCCACACCACGTCAGTGCCTCAACTGATCCATCTGCTCGTCGTAGCGAGAAATGGCACCCATGCTTCGGTTCGGCGAGTCTGCTGGGATCTTGGCAGTGGCAGGTTGAAACGGCTGGGGCAATGCGCCAGAAACGGAACTAAGAAATGTGGGATTGAAATTCTTTGGCTCAAAGACTGGGAAGCTCTCTCTCTCTCTCTCCATCGCCATCTCAGAGAGTTCCCAATCTACTTGGACATTTTTTTAAAGCCCATCCCAAAAAATCTTTCTTGTCATCTCAGGCCAACAGCGCCACATGTGCCCATCCGAGCCCAGAACTCCACGGTCGATTTCCGTTCCCGGCGTCCAGATGCCCAACAGCACCACCGTGAAGAGGGTCAAGGGAATTCTGACAAAATGAAAGCGGATTTTGCCCACCACTTCCCAGGTGAAGAAATTGGATGGGATCATGCTGGGACGATGGTGGGAGCTGGGATGCTGAATCACATCTAATTCTTGCAGTCCAAGTTGGTCTCCAGGTGGTTTAGAATGCGAAGGGCAGAGTGCAGAGTCTTACATGATGCGCGTCACACTTCACATGTTGCACTAAAATCTGCCAAGGTTCATGAAGAAGAGAGCATAGGTAGTAAGAATCTGGGCGTGAGTCAGCATTGGCAATTTGAATCCCAACATGGGAGCAAAATTCAGCAAGATAGTGGCAAATTTCAATGTCACGATTCTCCAAATGTCTTGACTGCGGCATCTGCAGCTGGGTTGGTCAGCACGGAATCAACCCCATTGGTACCAACAAAAGACCCTTCCACGGCTTCAAGTCCAAATGGTTCAATCCCTAGTCCCCATCAAAGAAGAGGCTCTCAGCAATTTCGGTTAAATGGCTCTGGATGGGCATGGTGCCACAACCACCTCTAAAGTTATCCGGAAACACCCATCCCTTCCGAGCAAACGGAACCAGTGTTCGTCCAAGGGGCTCCTCCTGCCTGCACCTTCTCTTCAAGGGTTCCCTCAACGTCCTCTTCTTCTTGCTTCTGCTTCGCCCTCAGTCGTGGCGAATCATTGGGGACTACTTCCCCAACCTGTCTGCTGCAAACTTGGCAAGGTTGCTGCAAAGTGGCAAAGCAGTCTCCTGCATGAAGCATCAAGGAGATCCCACAAGTGTGAAACGAAAGGCTTCAGATGCGATATTTTTCTAATCAACACGAGGAGTGCCCTTTTGTAAGTACATCAGGATACATCGAGCGAGATAGGTCTGCTCACGGCTCAGAGAAATCAGGGTTGAAAAGCCTCCATGTCTCAATGCAAGGAGCACGCAGCTATGAAGACATCTCCTTTCCAAAACACAATGGGAGCAGCTCGCCTCTTGCTCCACCTTCGCAAGTCTAAGCTTTTCGGCCGCACCACCTGGATTCGCCCTGGCGGATTCGCACGGCCCAAAACAGCAGGAGCTGCATATGCGTTTGCTGCACCTGGGGAAAGCCCTGCGAACCACGGCTCCTCGCGCAAGTTGAGTACATTTTTTCAGGTTGATCCAAGCACCCAGCAGTTGTCAACTTATTTTTGTGGCTCGGGTGAGCTTGACAAATCAACTGTAGCTGCCGCGTCCTCGTGGATTGGCCATTGGAAGCCTGGTGTTGGAAATCAGGATGGACTGAGAGGGCTACATGAAACGCTCCATTTGGTGCGAGCGGGTGTATGAATGCAGCGTTTGCATCTTCACCCAGGCAGAATGGAACAGCAAGACGTTGCGGTGCTGATTGCACCAGTCTTGGTCATATAGATCAAGCTTGAAACTTCAAGAAGTTGGATGCTTTCCGCATCAAAGCGGCATAAGAAGCGATTACAATGATGCGTCCCTTCCAAATCTATGCCAAATATTAAAATAAACAAGTAAATTCAGGTTCTTACTCATCTGGGGTTAGAAGCCCAACATATCTGCGACCCACCTGAAGGCTGTGAAGGCCACCAGGTTGCAGCAAGACCAAAGCAACAAGCCTGACCGAAGCTGGCAGCAACCAAAACCAAAGCATGGTTTGGCCAAAAGCAAAAAACTTTAGAAGGTCTAGGATGTATGAAGAAGGCTGGAAAGAGAACACCCTTGTCGTGTTTTCATCTGCTACATGGCCATATAACAGCAATATTGTCGATGTGACCACATGTTTTTTTCAGCTGCGCAGTTTGCCGTCTCTCAGCAAGCCAATCAGTTTCTGATTCTTGGGTGCTGCTTCATCCATGTTCCCCCTTGCGCTCGTTTCGTCAACTTCAAGGGGCCAGTCCTGGCACCTAGAAGGCCAAATGGTATCCAGCTAGAAAGAAACCACTATATCAGCAGATACTGGACGAGATTTTGCCTCTCTGCCAACCAGAAACCAGGCCTGATCTACAAATCTCTCTTTCAAAACTGGAGCCACATGCAAAATGCTCCAGCAGCGCCTAGAAGTGCCAACGGCAGAGCCTTCACGGCTGCCTGGCCAAACAGCCAACGCATGAACTGTCAAACGTGGAAGCCAGCAACCAGTTATGGCAATTTGGCAATGATGCCTTTGCGCGCGCCATGGCGCTATCAAAACTCAGCGGCACGTCACGAAAGCAGGCCTATACAGAAAGTACATGTCCCATAAGTACATATAAGTACACCCTACGACAGGAATAAAGACAAACAAGATCTGTACCTCGCATTGTTATGCTGTTGTGATGTAGCAATGTGTTTTTGATGTGTATATAAATATATATAATGCTGAGAACATAAACCATCAACATAGCCAAACATGCTATGCACAGGTGATACAAAGTCCAGCGCTTGTCAGCTCGCATTCCCTTTTTCACATTGTGCTGAAGACCATAGAATGCCATAGAAAGCCTCTTGCTGTACGACTTGCTTTTTGGGCAAAAACGCTGAAGTCGCAACACGAGCGGGTTGGAGATGCTGACGTCTGATCCTCCAGTCCACACCCAATCCAGTCTGCTTCATGAAAGTGCAGGCCTGGTTTGCAAGGAAGAAACATCTGTAGACATATAGCAAGGGAAATAAAGTATCCACCATTTGTTTGATTCCTCCATATGTGGTCTGTAGCCATTCACTCCCAACGCATCGTTTTTCGACCTGGTGCATCAGCCTTGGTCAACTTGAGCACCACATGAGTCTAAACTACGCTGATCGCTAGGAACTTATATGCGTTGATATCGCCATCTAGCCAGCAAGCCAGAAACCATTCCAGAAAACAAACGTCACAACTTCGCAACCAAAGTGCTGCAGGTTCTTGCGGTGCTGACTTTGGAGCACATCTCTGGCCTGCAAAAAATAAATTAGACTTAGCCCGTGCCACGAGGCCCAGGACGCCGCTATTCTGCTTGAAATCCCTGGGCTCGCGAAGCTAGGGCTCCGCTCTGGAGATCAACCCCACTCAAGGAGCAAGAAGTGGTCCTATTCCGATTCCGGGTAAATATCGGTCTTACTTTATGTTTCGATCTGGGCATTTGTGCACAAGTAAATGTATACTGTAAGAGGTAAACTTTGGATTCGGTTCTGACACTTGGCTACACATTTACCACATGTCGGAGTTGAGATCCTCTGGCTGCTCAGGAGGAGTAAGGTGACACACCCACCTTGGCACAGGCAAAGGTAGACCATGGCCCCCCCAAAACGTTCTATTTTGACACCATTTCTAAGGATCGAACATCAAACCTTCACTCTTGGTGGTCTTGGTGTCTGATGGTAACAACACATAAAAATAATCAACCAAGCAGCGCCCAAAAACCTTCTTTCATTCTCAAACCTACTGGTTGAGGGTGGGATTCCCATGATGGATTATACTCATCTACAACCCCCAAACCACTTGTAGTGGTTTACTGCAACTAATCATCCATCATCCACATCATCCACCAAAAATCGCCCATGCCACCGGTGATCCACAGCGCCAGGCCTTGGGATAGTCCCCCTTGCGACCACCACCGAACGCCACCGCAGCTGCCCGCATAATCTGTGCCGCCAGATCGCCCTCGGCCGTCAATGTCTTCACGGCCTGGAAGGTACAAATCGTGTGTCTGTGCACATATGTGTGTATATTATATGTTTTATATATATATATAATCTATATCTAAATATATCATTATATATAGTACTTTATAATACTTTAACCGTCCAATGCAAGTTCGACCATCCAACTGTAAGGTTCAATCACGCAAAGAGGCAGGGAAAAACCTTCTTGGAGGGGAGAAAAACCCTGCCGCAGGCTACAAAGAGCAGAGAAACAAAACAACAGGGTGGAATCTCTGCATGCCAGTTAAGGCCAGCAGAAAGAGGCCACGCCCAAAAACCAGCGTAGCTGGATGAGCCGCCCCAATGCAAGTGTGCCAGTTTCTGTGAATTGTTGATATACAGCTATATTAGTTTTATGCCATCCAATTCAATTGTGCCCATTTTTGCTATATCTCAACACAGACTTGAACATGGGATGACATGGGCACTTCTTTCGACAGCAGGGGCCGCCCTAAGGGCCCCAGTCCTGAAGCTGTGCCCGAAGACTGCCACTGCGGTCCAAGTAGTTGCTGAGCCAGGCAATCTGCTCGCTGCCCTCCTATGCCGATGAAATCCAGCACCAACATCAACAGCTGATGATTATTAATGAATATTAATGATTATTAATGATTAGAAATGATTAGAAATGATTATTAATGATTATTAATGATTATTAATGAATATTAATGATTATTAATGATTAGAAATGATTAGAAATGATTATTAATGATTACTAATGATTCTTAATGATTATTCATGACTATTAATGATTATTAATGATTAGAAATGGTTAGAAATGATCACTAATGATTATTAATGATTCTTAATGATTATTAATGATTATTAATGATTTTTAATGATTATTAATGATTATTAATGATTATTCATGATTATTCATGATTAAGGTTTCAAGCCAATGACAATGACAGAAACTTGAGCCCCTGGTCTTGACTCAAAAAACCGCTTGGTCCTCAGAGAACTCCTCAGCTTGGCTGCTGTGAAGTTCATCCAACGTGGTCTTGATGGTGGCCTGCCATGGATCAGAAGCTTATTGGGTTGCAGCTCGGCCACACCCCAAACAATTTAACCCTGAGAACCGGTAGATCAAACGCCACCAAAATCATCCAACGCTCCAAAAGCTCAAAGTAGTCTTACAAGTTCCCTATCCACCCATCATCTGGATGTCCACGCCTCATCTTTGGCCAGCTTTTGGTCCAACTCCATCAAGGCCTCCACGGAACAACCCTCCTCCAAGCATGCCTCGGTGGATGAAGACACGCTGTAAGGAGTTTACGTCTTCTTTGGACAGCGAAATGCGAAGGATGTCTTTGAAACATGCATAATAACTTTCATTTTGATCATGACCTTGCAAATGCTATGGGTTTGACATAAATACATGTTTTTTTTCTATATATCCAACGTACCTGGAAAGAGATGTATGCACATGCACGTGCATATGATCACACGAATTGCAATCATTGGAATTTTCCTTTTACCAAAACTTGCAGCGCATGGCGCATGTCATAAAATAGTGTACGTACGCACACACACACAAGACAAGAAAGGACCTTTGAAAAGATCCGTCAGGAACTGAGTCCTGTAACATGCAAACCAGCCTAGACAGGTAGACCTAACGTAGATCCCATTGTAGTACTTCACGGCGAAAATACAGATTGTGGCAACCGTTAAGAAATAAAATCATTGTGTTTGGGGTTCTGAGCTTTGCCCCTTGCTATGTCAGAAAAAAGCAGGTACGTGCAGTTGATCAGACTGCATATCCTCTCCAAACATCAGTAGCTTCGTTCGCCACGGACTGATGAATGGAGCCGTGGCCCCCTGCGTTATTAAAAAGGGAGAGGAAAGAAGAAAGAAAAGGAGAGAAGCTTTACATCTATTCAGATGTTACACACACACACCCGGCCGGAGCCGGTTCAACCCTGAAAGGCAAGAGGAAGAAAAAAGCGGACACAGACGACGGGCAAAAGGCCAAAACAACGCAGGGGGGGAGGGGAACGAACGGACCTCCAGAACCAACCTACGCGGCGAAACGGACCTGACCAAAACAGAGCACACACCTAAAACCCCACGACACATTACGGAGAGGCACGCAGGGAGAATTAGGGACCAAATGGGGGACTAGTTGATGGCAAACAAGAGAAACCAAAACAATTAGTTTAAAAACAGAACTCAGTTCCTAGATACCTAGAGGTCGTGCGTTATTCCCTTGCCGGGACGGTAGTCAGGTCAGCCCAGAGAGGGCATATAACCGAAAACGTCGATCGTAGACAAAACCAGGGTCCAAATAGTCAAATACGTTCCAAGGAGTAAGTAGTCATGTTAGGGTTCTCGGCTTAGCCCTCTGCCATGTCGACGAAAAAGGATAGGTCCCAAAAAATAACTTGTCGCACTAGGGTTCTCGGCTTAGCCCTTCGTCATGTCGATGAAAAAGGATAAATACCAGATTGAGGCAACCGTGAAGGAAAATCATTGTTGTTGGGGTTCTCGGCTTAGCCCCGTGCCACATCTGCGAATAATTGAAATGATGGAGTTGCAGGTACGTCCAGCTGGCCAAGCTGGATATCCCATTTCACTGGTAGCTTCCTTGGACACAGTCCCAGTGAAATGCTGTGTCCCCCTGCAATGAGAAGAACAACAAAAATTCTTGGGAATCCCTAGCCATGAGACCGACAAAAAAAAATCAGAAGTTTTAAATCTATACAGATGTTTCACACACATATATATATATACATATATTATAAATATATATTACATCTATATAATATTACATTGTACTATTCTAATCCATGGGTATATCGGGTATTCTGCCCACCTGGATGGCGGCATTGGTTGACTCCGTGGCTTCCAAAACTGGCTCTGGCATGTGCTTGGACTTCACCACCTCGGGTGAACGTTTTGGGAGGAGAGATATTGCTGCCAGATCGGATGTTTGATGCTAAAAATGCTACAAGGATAGTCTTCAAACCTGTCTCTATGGCTACATTAACGACTAAGCATGGGGACTATTAAGTTACTAAAGATGTGGATAACTTTCGAAATATTCTGCAAATGGTGATTCAAAATTGGGATGATCAGCCAACTATATCCGGTTAATTGATGTGGAGCCACGAATCCCGAAACTATGCAAATTCGCTGTGGGTGATGATTTTTGGGACCCTGGTGACCCTCCCACACATGGACGCAATAGTGGAGGCCACAATGCCACAACAAAGGGATTGTCATTTTTCTCAGTTTTGCAGAGGTCTAACTTGGTCGTTGATCAAAAACCTGATACCATTCTTCTCACACCCAGCTGACAAATGGATGTTCATCTCCAAATATGCTATTTCATGGCTTTTCATCACCCACATTCTATCATCTCCATATCATCTCCATATCTGGCTGACATGGCCATGATATCCCCACATTTGAGCCATTTTCTGCAGCCAAGGCGCCGATCCCTCGATGCCCAGGTTCAACTTGCCGGACTCGAAGGCCGCCGGACGCGCCACGCGCGCCACGGGGCGCGCAGCGCCCTGGAGGAAGTTGGACGCGAAGCCGAGGGCGGCGCCTCGCGCTTGGAAGGTGATGCGATTTTTGGAGGGATTCCCCCAAAAAAAACACAGATACTCCAATATCAATATTTATATATATATATACACCAGCAGCTGAGGAAAAGATGATCTGGAATCAGATCAAGCTGTTGATCTTGTGGATGGTGAGCATTTCTTTTCAGCATCCCAACATATCCCAGATATTCCAGAGCGCAAATTCAACCACTTCAGGATGAGTTGAAGGGAGGAGCAAAAAAAACAGGACCAAGATCTTGCAACCCACCTGCCACCAGGATGGAAAGGAGCGAAACTCTGCGAGCCATGATCTGTGCCTCGCAGTTGGTGTTGAACCCAGATGAAAGGCGTGTGAAAAGAACAACTTCCTCAATAAACTGTAGTGAATGTTCTGCCAATCATACTCTCCCAGGGTTTATTTTTTCAAAAATAGAAGGTTTAAAGATGTTCAATGTCTATCAACCTTTACCACTCCCCCGTGGGACATCAAGGAACACTCACACAGTGCCTGAACCTCCCAGCACTGGAACGCCTAGAGAGCAAGAGCCGAAAACAACTGCGCAAAGAGGGGAGCGGCTCAGCAATAACCAGCAATGACCAGCAATGCCTATCTATTCATCTCTCATATACCCTTACTACACCATGCCACACCATGTTTATTGCAGTGACCAACTTTTTGCTGCGGCAAAGACAACAAAGCGCAGTGGCATCACCACGTCGATCTACTGGCAGAGACCTTCTTGGTCTCTCGGCAGTGCTGCGCAGGTGGAATCAAGCACTGATCAGGTTACGAGTTACGAGGGAAAATGAATTTTATTGTCTCAATATTTTTATGCGCAGCGCCGCAGCACCAAACGTTTTGCTGTCATTGACATGCACACTTCTGGGGTGACACAAGGGAATCTTCTGAGCATTGGGGCCAATCAATCGTCAATGAGTCACTTGCACTTTCATGGCTGTTTCATAAGCTCAGAAAACCCTCTGAACATGTTGCCTCTTGCCAACATCCATGCAATCATGTGAAGCATATGCACAAACTTTGCAAAAATATCAAGTCATTGCATTCAACAGCTCTGTCAGCCTGCGGCCATCGCAATCCTGAGCTCATGGGAGGAAAACTCTGCAAATCAATTCATTGGAGAAGTCTGCACGGGGAACAGCAAAAAGGAAAAGCATTTGCCAGCAGCCAGCCAAAGATCTTTCTGCCAATCTCATGATGGTGGTTCCTCAGTTCGTGTTCCATTCTACAGCTGCAAACAATTTAGCAGGCATTCTGCATGCAGAAAAAGTAGGGACACTCCGAACCGCCTGTTTCAATGTTTAAATTGTAGAACTTGCAAAGGACCTTGGGTTGACACGGATGCCACCCAACAACTGTCTCATGGTGGAATCATGTCTCATCCAACATGCTGGATCTCGCCAAGCCAAGCAACACCGCCTGTTCAAAGAGATAATTCATAGCCTGATTGGGTGCTCCCGGTTGGGTACTTCCAACAGCTCTACTGGCTCACAGGTGGTTGGCACTCTCAATTTCCACGCTCAAATGGTCACATTACACCTACAACTGCTCTCTCCACTTGAAAAGAATCCATCCAGCAGCAGCTTCCATCCGATTCCATCGGCATTGACCATCCCGCCTCAGTGACCTGTTCCCCCGTGGCCGCAGATGTCTCGAAGTATCGCATGCCATGGCTGGCAGCAAAATCCTCCCCTTCTGCACGGCTCACGGCGCGGCGGCCCAGGTCCAGCTTATTGGCGCAGAGCGCCACGCAGCAACTGCCGCGGTTGGCGCGGGACCTAGGCGGCACGAGGCTGATCCAGATGACCCAGGTGACCCAGGTGACCAAAGAAAGCCGAGTGGCAATGGGCATCCATGGGAGTGCGCCTCCTGGCTGATGAAAAATGAGAAATGACTGAGGTGACTCATGGTCCATTCATTCTCCGCCAGCTGGCGAAGCTGCACAGCTATTCATGCAGTGCTCACGCCAAAACCTTGAAAATAAGCAACAGTTTAAAATAATAAAACCTTACGTTGACGTTGGCATTTACAAAGTCCATGCCTGGAATAAGAGCCCTGTATCTTGACCCTCCGCACTTGACATCCATGGTCCGCACCCAAACTCCTCCAGCCACAAAGACAGGTCCGCGAAGCTTTTCCGGTTGGTCACATCGTACACCAACAGCACCGCCTTGTCAGCACCAAACGCAAAGAACATTCTTCAAGCCAGTCCGGGCAACCACATGAAACATTGTTTTCCAGGACCAATCGCTCAACTTGATTTTCAACTGAGGGTCGCTGGCTTGCCCCATGGTGTAAAATTCCGTGCGGATTTCTCGGAATTCGTCGCCTCCTCAGGGGAAACAGCCACAGGTGAGTGGGCCAACTGAGGGTTCACTGGGGGATCAAAGTCTCCTGAAGTGTCAAAGAAGTTCACCTTCAGGTCATGTCCCAGCACTCTCACAGGTTTCACGCCATAGTCGATGCCAATGGTGGGGATGTACTTCTGGACAAATCGACTTTCGCAGTAGCGCTTGATCAAGGTGCTCTTCCCTACGGTGGCCGAGCCTGCGGCAATCAAAGTGGCGACTAGTAGAGGCACATGGGCATGGCTCAAAAATTCAAACCCGGAACTTCAGGAAAGCCAGGCTGTGCGGTTTCATACGTCTTCCCATTTGTAACAGCAATCATGCCATTCTGAACTTTTGACATTTCTTAAGTATCAAATTTGACCCAGGCGACTTCGACCCCTGGATGACATGGCAGCCCCGGCCTATGGACATCACCTTCACTCTCAAGGCCCGTCCCGCGCCATGCGAGGCTGACGCCTCAAAGGGCTGAAGCTTTCATGCAGTTCGCTGGTCTAAAGGTCCGGCATTTACAATAGATACAGTATCTATATATACATATATACTTATCTATATTTATATATATATATATCTATATATAAATATATATCTAAATATATATATATATCTATATATCTATATATCTATATATCTATATATCTATGTATGTACGTAGGTATGCATGTATGTATACATGTGTATGTTTATATATATATATATGTGTATATATATACATATGTGTATGTTTATGTATATATGTACTGTTTATATCGTGTAAATATATATATATATAATATTATACAATATATATATATATACTGTATACTGTATACGTTGTGCGTGATGTGTATATATATACGTATATTTATTGTAGATATTATATATATATACATGTAGACATGTGACATATGTATGGCAAAACATGACAGCGTGTAACTTTACAGCAGTTCAGTTCTGCATGATTTCTGCCCTCGCATTGGTGAAGTTTTCTGGCCCCGTCTTTTCAAACCGCACACGCACCATGACTTTCAGCTCAGCTCGCTGCTGTGGAGGACGCCGGCGGAGGCGGTTTAGGCGCCGACTCGCGAGGTGTGTCGCTGTCTCAGCAGGCTGGACATGGTCAGCGGGACAGCAAGACAAAGGCCCAATCAAATCCAAATCACGCAAAAATTGTTGTTGCAAAATCATGGGGTTTTCCACCATTATATCCCACTTGCAACTATATGAAGGAACCACATGCGATACAGAATCTGCCTTCAACGTGTGTAAACACTCGGCCCGAGGCCCCAGTGCAATATCACTCTCCCAAGACGAGATCGCCAAAACAGAAGCAACATTTCCTCAAAGCCAAGTTGCTTCGGCGCTCCTGGCATCGCAGCTTTGCATTACTGTGGCTAGATCTCAAGAACCCCCCAGCGTTCACAGTCATTCCGGCCCATGTATATACTGAAAACTGATTGCAAACTTGTCCCGGGATGCTCCCTCAGGAATTCCGCGCTGCAGCTCATAGATCGAGAAAGAAAAAGAGAACACTGCATTTTTCGTGGAATTGGCAGGCCCCTGTGATACCGATCTGACGCCGATCTGATGAACTTTGAATGGATCTTGTCTTGTGACGTATCAGACACAGCTCACCGTGCCGCCTTCCGGTCACGAAGAAGCGCCAGCAAGTCGGCCTGGCATGGCTGGATTGTCCTGATAGGTGGGCCATCTTGTCAGGCTGCACTCCCCATACTGCAGGGTTTCTCATAGGGCAAGGTCGCAAAATCTTCGGGTGTCTTTAGAAAAGAAAATAGATGAAAAAAGGTCATCCCCTCTAATGACTCTAATGGAATAAAAATGATCTACAAATGATGGTGGCTTATCATTGGCTTATCTATCTTAATTTACTCCAGGATATCAGTTCTCTGGGCCAGAAACCCCCCAGCTTCCCATCCCACAGCCCAACTGGCCTTTTCCAGGCAACCTTCATGGTCGATTCCCAGGGCTGTAAGGAGCTCTTTCAGCTCCTTGATGGATAAGCTACCTGGAGCTTCCAGCTGGGACAGCTGTCAGAGGATACAGCTCGTTTAAGTTGAGTAGATGGCCTAAATTCCACATACACATACACATATACACATAAACATACACATATACACATACACATGCCATTTAGCCCAATTGTCACGAGCCGTTGCTATATTTATGACAGCCATGAACCAGCTTTTGCCGAAGAATGCCTTAGCAGGCTGCTATCTGGACCCGCCAATCTGTACAGCGAAATCATGTGGTCAGATTTTTTTTGGTGGTTACGAATCAGAAACAGTCCTGGACCTAGGCGTGTGACATTGCAAAATACTCCAGAAACCCCCAGTGCCCTTCACCTGTCATTCCAATTTTGTTGGTAGGTGTCTAACAGGAGCGGATATCCTTTTAAAGCGTCAATGAATTTTCAGGCAACTCAAGTGCAATCTACGACGCGTAGGGAAAACTCTTCGAATGTTTCACGGCCGCCCCAGCAGCGGCTAGGTCCAAGTGGTGGCCAGTTGAACCGAAAATGAGCCCAAATGCATCCAGGGCGCTTGGGTCGGATGGGATCTCCACATTCTTCTTGGCTTTGGGTGGTTGAGGCACGTGTGGCGCAGGCTGCGGTGCGGCTGGCTTTGGAGCACCTGAATGTGGCGACCAGGTCCTTCTACAGCGATGGGCCCTTACCAATCCTTACCAGATATCAATTGTGATTGATACCCTGAAAATCCCTGAAATACCCAGAGCTCATGTTAACAATTTGTGCATCCATGATTTATGACATGGGGCCATGGGGGCTAATATTGAACCATTGCCATTGACCCAGCCTGCACTTGGTCGCGGCCGTTCGCTCGAAGAGTCCCGCGCTACGAACCGAGAGAAACCACCTGGGAAAGGCAACGATCATGGGGCAACCATGGACCTGTTGGGAAAAAATGAACAATAAACCAACAGTGAGATCATGGGAATATGATGTTTTCATTGTATCATTAAATTGCATATAATTATGAACCTAATACTGGAGTATTAGAGTGTGTCTGACAATTGGGTATATACCCACACCCCAGAATGGCAAGGTTTATGGAGAGAATGATGGGAAATTGTGATAAAACAACTGGAGAAAAACCCAAATGATTCTGCGACTGAGTCTGGCTCAAAAACATGCAACTTGTTGCAGGCGTTATCTACCCAAAATGCCTGTCGAGACCACTTTCCTTAAGGTTCCGCGGGCCAAAGTGCTTTTTTGAGAAAGACAAACTAAATAAGCCGCCCGTGTGATCCGAAAGCACCTGGACCTAGATCTCTTACAGTTCTTACAGTTCAGTGAACCACCATTTCTGATGAGAAAGAAGCTGAACCTATTCCACAGTGAAACACGCTTGCGCGCACATTTCTCTTTCATGATCGAAAAAAACACCTACCATCTCACACCTATCATATTCCCATATATTCCCCGATCACCATCAATCTTCTTGAAACATAAGATACAACTCACAAGGACAAGTTGGTTGAGGTCCCATACGCTTAACATCCATGGCCGTATCCCATTAGCACAACACAAAGCAGGGATAGGAGTAGGATGGAGAATGTGGGGAAGAAAAAGGAAAACTGTCGCTATCTAATTTTGAACAAAAATTGGCTACTAAGTGCTACTTGATTCCATATGCACATTTAATCCCTGACATGTTTCAACCTGCAGTGAGGCTCTATCCAATCTACAACACTTTAAACCCTAAAGTAAGAATCATTACAAGAATCATTACGAATCATTCATCCACACAGTCGAATGCCATGGAATCTTGAGGGCTTTGGCTGAGAAACTTCCCAGACCATCTTTTGACCGCAGCCGGATCAAGGTGGAATCGTAGGCTGCCCGTTTCCTGTGGTACCAAGTCATACCACCAGTTTTCCCAGAAAAATTGGAGTGAGGTTGCTCAAAGGCAATTGGATTCTACATATTTCTGTGGGATTGTGGAAATCTCACAAGTGATTGTGTGTTTCATCGGACTGTTCGAACCATTTCTTTCATGGGATGAACCTCCGATGCCCAATACAGTTGGAAGAGTTTACCCCTAATTCCACACTCCAATGCCTTCAATCCACCAAGTGTACTCCTTTCGTATCCCACGGTTTTGTGGGTCCCCATATCTGTGGCACACGTTATCAACCGTTCTATGCCACATGTGCTCCGCAGCTCTGCAGCTCCGCAGTTCCGCTCCTTTCATCGGTCAATGTCTCCACTGCGGCACCACATTCTTTGAATTTGTCTTCATCGCCACCCTGGCATCGAATCACTGCTCTCCCTGCCATTCTCCCTGCCATTTTCCCTCCACAGCATGCACCAAGGGCAAGCCCAGCCTTGTCCGGATGATGAGTCAACGCCGCTTTTTTGTAGGCTCTTTTAATCTCCTGGCCAAAAAATGTAACTCTATGAGTGAGCCGGGGGACTAAGATGTTGCGAAGCATTTCTGCTTCCATCAGTTACTCTGCAAACATCTGCATGAGATGCTTGAACGGTCCTCGGCAGTGGCATCCCTGGTGATGCCCAGAATGTCATAATAATTCTGGGCCATGAATGCAAAGAAGTATATACTTTTAGCGTGGTTGGAAAAAACTGGTGATGCACTGTGTTTTGATCAAAACATGTTGACACAAAACTCAGTTTCACGGCCCTTTTGTTTCAGAAACAATGCGATTGCAGCATCGGACTTGAAGCTGAAACTGCACAAAACATGAATGTAGAAATGCAGTTTGAATCCAATCGCACTTCTGAGTGAATCAACCAACACGTAGTCACCTTGAACCCAGGAAGAACAAGGAGGACATCTTAATTTTGGACCCACTGGTTGATTGGATTCCAAAAGTTTCAACCGCCCGTGCTTTCCAGAGCAGATTGCCACATGTTTCAAACGTCACCCATGACATGAACCACCTGATTGCCCTCTGGTTTGAGGCGTTGGTATATGCCCGCATTTGCATAAAAATCAGGTAGGTGATGCTGATCATGATGGCCATGAGTAGCAGTGTGGAGCGTCAAAACTTAAATAGTTCGGGCAAGGCCCTGCCGTGACAACGATTAGCATCATGCGTGATATCTTAAATGCCCCAAGGCCAAGTATCACCGGAGATCGAACCTTCTCTACAAGAGGTGCCTAGGAACACGCCGAGCAGGAGGGTACAACGAAAATACTTTCTGTATCTTTCTGTGCTCTCTAGCTCTAAAAAGCTCCTAGGTTTACCTCTTGCCGATATCGTGCTAAATCAAAAGGTGTTTCGGCTAGCAGCTAGTACAAACTAGCCTTCCTGACTTGAAATTCAAACTGATCAAACCGTCTGTTCACGTGGCAATTTCGCAGGCGCAGAGTAAAAGAAAACTCCGAAGTACGGCTCAAAGCACTGCCGAACAAACCCAAAAAAAAAACAGGTTTTGATTGCATTTCGTGTGCCAAATGTCTATTTAAAAACAACTGGTTGCCTTTACAAAAACAAGTTCGCAAAGCATGTGCATATCGAACCAACCGCGAAACAGTTCGGGCCAGTAGTTGTCTCCTTGATGCTACTCGTGTGCCTCATTTGGCATATGACCCTCGAATTGCCACCATCATGTTGTTTGAGACCGTGCGATGATTAAAACCGGTTAAAACATAAACTCCATGAACATTCCGTTCTGACGTTCCCCTTTGCCACCTTGTCGGCATGTTTGGTTTCCCAAACGAATAGTTTGATTTGTCACGCAATAATTGCAGCCATGCATTGATCACAGGATCCAAAAAACATCCCCTCTGCCAACAACCAGTCGAAAACCATCAGCCATTGCTTTGTGTTGCGTTCATCTTGCCAGTTGTTTCTGTTCACGATTTCATCCTCCGACCTGCAGATGGTAGGTTCGTCATGGTTCGTCATCATTGTATTGCTGATGCACTTGCAAACGCGCCGGATACGCATAGCAAACTTACGGAGATGTCGTTTTTTTCCAAAACAATACCAAACCAATGGCATGGAAAACTCGAGATGGGTTCAAAACCTGAGTTAGATGTTGTTGTGCCCCAAGTTGTTTTTTTATCATGCCATGGGTCGTCCGATATTTGTTGCTAAATATCGTGGTCGCAAAAACCGTTCAAAATTGCCCTTCACAATTCATGGTTTCGATGATGACAATGCAGAGGCGGAGGATGAGTCTAGCATTTCGCCGGCACCCTTTGAAAAATTAATTCGCGGTTGTTTTCCCGTATTTTTTAAGGACCATAACCACTTGGACAAAGGAAAAACAAATCCTATACCACATATACGGGCGAAAGACGTTAATTGTTTACGATTTGCTGTCTATGTTTGCGTCAATCAATGTCAAATGATACTGTGGGTTGGTCACCTGATGCAAAATAAGCTCTCTGTACCTTACCAAATGCCCATGTTGCCATTGCGACCGGCATCTGTGTAGTTTCAAAATGGCGCGGAATATTACCGCGAAACTGTCATGACTATAGAAACCGTCTCTGGTGTGATTGGTTGGCCCTGAATAATTCCTTTACCAGGACCATGTTTTGAATCGGAAATAAAAAATGGAAAATCGAAGTCAGTAGATGGAAAATTGAAAAAAACAACATTGAAAATGTAAGCATCCATGTGAAAGTAGATAAAAATATATTGACAATCCAGGCAAGCATGCTGAAAATCTGATGAACTATGTCAACTTCAAGATGGGCAGCGCAAGCAAGCGGACTCCTTTTCAAGCATGGGGGTAGCAAGATCTCACTGGACGGTCGGGTACGCCAACCGTGTTGCTTGCCTTTTGATTGTTTTTCTCCTTCCAGCTTTTCAGTCTCGTACAAAATTGTACACGGTGAAGTCTGTGATGCCCAAAAAATGATGGGCGGTTTGTGGGTGGGCGTTTTTTGGCAAACGCGAAAGGCTGCCCACCTCACCACACCCTTGAAACAAAGTGGCTTCCATTGCAAGAACTGAGCACTGCCCCACAACCCTCGAGTTGTTTCATCTTTGCGTTTTGGCTGCTTGATCACAAGTGATCTGCACCGTCAACTTCAAGATGGGCAGTGTAAGCAAGCGGACTCCTTTTCAAGCATGGGAGTAGCAAGATCTCACTTCCCCCTTTTCAACATCTCGCTTGCACCGCATCCAAAGTTTCCAGAACTGTTTGAAGTGGCTCCAAGCTTTTGTCGTGACATCACACTCATCAACAAGCAAATGGTGATTTTGCTGCCTTGAACTTGAAGGTCCATCACTTATGTTCGCTTCTGTAAGTACACGAGCATACCATGTTCGCAGGCAACACTTGGATTTGAGTTCAAGTTGATAACGCATGAGGCATTTCCCAACGTGGCAATTGGAACTGGCCCTTGCCAAAGGGAATCTTGCACCATCGTTGTCACCAAAGTGGACAAAGAAATGTTCAGCCTGCCCGTCACAGCCAGAGCGAAGTAGCCAGCACAGCTGCGAGAAGTTCCAACTCGTATCTTATGGTGCCCTTTGTGAGAGCCCCAAAGCGCTCGCACACATCTTTGTCCAGAGGAAATCCAAATCATTGCAGGATCTCGCCACTACTACCAACAAGCACCCCAAAGGGCCCCAAAGCCACCAGTTTTTTCCCCCGTCTCATAGCTATCCGTGTACATGTAACCTGCTCACCATCACTAGCAGAAACAGAACGAGGTTCTGAAGACTCCAACCGCTTCGCCATCGCACCCAACGCTGTCTTCAGGGTCTTCATCCAACACCTTTGTGCGGCCATACGCATGGTCGATAAGCCGCTTAAGAACTAGTTTGCCAAGCCTCCCGTGAACAAAAAAATCAGCAAAACCTAACCCCCCACGCAGCATGAAAGCCTCTTGCTTCTCCAGAAAGCCCCTTTCTATTGCCAGCAAGATCTGTTGCACTATCTCACGCGTTCGCTCCTCTGTGTTGCATACACACAAGAGGCCAGCATCAGACCTGTTGAAGTCAAACTGGACCCCCAATGCTTTGCAGACAGTGGCGAATTCAGTTGCTTTCTTCCCTTCCTGCGCAAAATCCCGGCCAGTGAGTTGCTGCTGCTGCAGGGGAGCTCAGGCCAAGCCTCGAGGTTAGGATGAAATCGTCGTAAAAATTGGTTGTAAGCAAATGCAAACCTCTCACTGCCAAGGGGTACAATGCCCGTGACAAAGGAAGAAAACAATATACACTATGAGTGGTTCCAAAAGGCATGGTTCTCAACCGGTATATCTTAGCACAGCCAGTACCACTGTTGTAAACACCCAATTAGGCATAGCGATAATGGTCTGGCCTGATGGGGACTTGACAATAAGCGCTTTTGAGATTGACGTTTCGGCAAGGTGCCGCATTTCACAACCAGCAATCCGCAGGCCTTGTAGTAATGTTTGACTACCGCAAAAAAGGGCTCAACCATGTGGAGGTCCAAATTACTGGGACTAGTACAACTATCCTTTATTCCAATGATGCCGTACTCATCTATCATCCTTGTCTTGGCACCCTAACATGATATCACTGCGCCATCCTGCGGGTCCTGCAACAGAAAGGCCCAACGGCCCAGCCATTCTCCAGCTCAAGTCCTGTCTCTTCCACCAACTGCATATCCACAGGCTCCGACCCGGAACTTCTAGCCATGCGCATGATCACATCGTTGTGTTTTGGGGCATTCATGTGCAACTAGTCTAAGCTCGAAAGACAAAGCTTGTATTGGCGCTCGAACACTGGTGACTCCTCAATCTCCCCTGCTAATGTGGCCCCTGGCGGCAGGAGTTTCAACACCAGCGGGTCTTCACACCTTATGTCACTTATATAACATCTCTGCAATGAGCAACAAGCGTTTTCCCTTGGCAACCACAGGATCCCGAGAAGCAGCATCTTTGACTTCCATTTCTTCCAAATGAGCCGCTCTTGCAACCCACCTGCGCCACCAAGCAATGCGATAGGAACTCATCTGTTGATCATTCCACTCCATATGCTTTTCCACAGCCAATCTCAGTTCCCATGGCACGTGTGGAGGGATGCCCAGCCTGTGCGATGGAAACCACAGGCGCCCAAGGGATTCCAAACACCACCTCAGACTTGAAATCTCCAGCATCAGTCAAATCACCCTTCTGACACCGCCGCTTGTGATTGTGCTCCTCTGGCCCTCCCCCATTTGGAGAGGCATCAACCACAGGAAAACGAAGAAAGCGAGTGTATTGGGGCACTGTGACTGGAACGTTGTCCTTAGTGTAAAGGGCAACATTGCTTTGCAGCTTGGACCTCAGAGAGAGCATGGAATTTCAGACAAATCTCGCACCACAAAGACTGCAACTGAACTGGCGCCTGCCACCATGGGAGCAATCTTGGAAAGCTTCGGCTGGAGGCCAGCGCTACGCACATCTTGCGAGGATACCTTGATTCTAAAGCTGCTGCCCACACTTGTCTGCCACCTTCGTCACGCGCAAAACCCAGCATACACCATACGCAAAAGGCGAGCAAACGGCGACCACCACCACCACGACCACCACCACCGCCGCCCCTGCCGCTGGCGCAGCCACCGCCACCACAGCCACCACCACCACCTTTTATTTTCTCCTGCTGCTGCCAAGG